CTGCAGAGGGCAATGCAGAAAAATCCACCGTACTGTATTTCTATGCTCCCATATCCATGCAACCCGCACGCACCAACATGGAATCATGTTGTGAAGGATGTTTAAATAACCCCCACAACCTGCACGGCATGAGGAGGCCCTAATCCAGAAGTGGATTGACAAAGTGTTGTGCATGTTAAATATGAAGGGGCGCAACATAACGTTTGCCAAGTGCATTGGAAATTATCGAAACTTGGGTTTAGGAAATTAATAAATTGGCCTTTTTGTTCTACGCCTCCATAATTTTAAAAAATAATCTTTTGAACTATTGGCCTTCTAGACTTACATCAGCCAGCAGCATCATTTAAAATATGTAAAGTCTGGACCAGTTTTGACTTTCTGAGTCTTATCAGTGGAGTCAAGCTTGCTAATTAATTATTGTATCAGACGTGATTATGTGACCTCCCTGTAAATGATGGAAAAGGGAGTTTGCCTTGACAATTAAAACTGTCCCACATATTTGCATGATGGAGGACACAATGTTCCTTTTTATCCCATAATATAGTTTGTTACATCTTGTAGAGGCTCCCAATAATTTTCTTTGTTCAGTCCCCTGCTGTCATAGGGCTTGCATAAGATTCCACAGACTTTGTCCCCAATGGTTACCCTTTTATTTCTGAACATAGGAAGGTAATTTATGACTTAAGCAGGAGGAACTTTTGTCATGTTCGCTGCCACTGACTGACAAAAAACATTAACCACCCTTTTCATCATTGTCTAATGCCATTGCCTCATGTCCAGTGCACCCATGTGGCATGCTTACTTGCGTCCACCCTATTCCAGACTTTTTAAGCAAGGTAATTTTGCAATCAGTCACTGAACACTTAGCAGTGTAAATTCTATTTAAATTCAGTCAGTCTCTTGTGTTTAATTACAACTTCGTCAGTAAAATGAAGTGCTGCACGGTACATGTTGAATTTTTTTTCTTTCTATTCTATGCTCACTTGGCAACCATCACCAATGTATGTTTTTTATTACGGATATTTGTTTGGCCCTATGAAATAGACAAGCGTGGGGATGTAGTCTTCTAATATCTTGGCCTTTTAATCAATTTAGTCCATGAAATCAAACCAAGATATTTCGTTTGTTGGTACCACCTTGAACTTTAGTGGTCCCAATTTCCTTGTGTGGCCAATGACAGTGAACCATGTCATGACCACTTCAATGAGTGGGTTATCAAGTAATTCACTCTAATTAGCCATATAAATAAATCGGTGCTACTAAGGATGTTTGTCACCTTAGGTGGTACCACTATCTGCTCTGACCCATGTCCGTTTCCTTCACTAATATTTCCTTCTAGCGGTCTTTATACTTTGTCTACGTCTTGTCACCGTAGTCATAGATTGCGCACATTTCCCATTTTTGAATGCTCGGGTCTGTCACCAACGTAACTTGCACCAATGTCTGACGGCGTTTTTCGCAGAGGCAATTTCCCGTAGTTTGCGGGAAAAATGATGCAGGACGGGTTACGTTATTGTACGAGGGCTATAAAATGCACCCGGTGGAGCAATTACACACGGTTGAGATAGGCTGCCCGCAGAGGGGTCCCTGGCTCCGCTGTCGAGCGGCGACGATGCACACCGCAGGGTGAAACGTACGCAGGTGCTGGTGGGCATTGGGCAGCCGCAAAATAAATGGATGTGTCGGGGAGACCCTGCTGGAGGCCTGCCGGCAGCGTTTGTCAGAGCGTCGTGCGACGCGAAAGCCGTGACGTGGGGATACACTTGGTGGCAGACTCTCTCTCTCATAGGGCGCTCACGTAGTGAGCCGTCATCCTTCTCAATTAGTACACGGGATTGATTTTGATAGTGGCTTGCATTTGTGGTGCCTGCTTAAGCATATTCATAGTCTCGACTGTGACTGTGCCACTCGGTTTTTATCGCACTTGCGATGTTGATTTTTTTAAAGCGTTGTTTATTTCCTGGTTCTCTTAGTCTTACTTTACGATGTGTTTGCCCGTGTAATGTGACGGGCCGGTGTTTGTTCCCAGAGTTTTGTCGTATAAAATATTAGCAGCAGCCTGTTAATCATATTATCGGTTCTTCATGAAGTGTCTGGGCTATGCTGTTTTGTACTGACTTTAATGTGAACATTTTCCAGATGCCCAAACACAAGTGCTGTCTAGATTATACGTCTGTATAACTCGATGGTATTGATTCTTTTCACTATCTTGCTACCTGAGTAGTACACTTGTTAAATATGGCCACTTGTGTGTCTGTTCCACCAGCTTTAGTCAATGACACGTAGTAGGATTACAGTGTAAACCCTTGTACACACGCTAGCTCTGATTAGCACACAGCTGTTCTTGTGCATTGCTTTTGCAGATTGACATTCTGTCGTTGTGCACACTGGCTTCAATAAATCCATTCCATCATTGGCCTTAAACGTTGTTGGTGTGCACAGTTATTTTAGACTGATTGTACTGTACCGTGTAGAAATATCACCTGATATATTATTGACTCTGACAGCCGATAGAAAATAAAAGGAAGATAAGCACGATAGAATCACTCTGAAGAAATGACACGTGGATTGTAGTTTTGAAGTGCACATATTGGATCGACCACACCGGAGCCATTTGGAATTAACTTTGCGCATTGAGCGCGAGAGAGATAATCGCATTTCACATGTGATTTAGCTCGACGCACAAAGTGTCTCATCTGCCGTGTGTGTACACCACAGATGCACCTAACCGAGTAACGACAGATCAATCAAAGACAAACATGGCAACGGCTATCCCTGGCAGCAACTCGGTATACGTGCACTTACCCATCTCACGTGAGTCATGGCGGTCATTTCATAATATTTCACCACACTGACGAGTGTGAGTAGGTGAAGGGGGTGCACTGAAGTTATCCATTTTGATTAGTACAATGTGTAAACCACTGTGCCACCATTTCGCCCCGCTTGAAAGTTTAAAGCACAGAAAATGGAGCTGAGAATTTAGAAATATGCGGTTTCAGCATTCCTAAATTGCAGCTACTGCACCCTTTATCCTTGTTTAAGTTGCACATAATGTCAAACGCGACCTCACTTCCCTGAATCTTCACGCTGTCCGGCTGCGTGCCCAGCGAAAACGTAATGCGCGTGGGATTTCTCTGATTGCCGTAAATTTCACGTTGAGAAGAAGCCGCCGCACCTTTACCGCTGAACCGCGGGCAGATTAATTGCTTGGCCTTTTTTCCCCACCGCCGGTTCGGGGGGGAGAAGAGACGCTTTGCCCGTGACGCGGCGGTATGGAAAGCGGTCGTTAGCGGGCGATGTGCCCTATATTCTACCATCGCGAGATCCCTAATTGCTCCGTTCGAGCGAGCATTGCTGAAATCTGTCACGCCCCCTAGACGCGAGCCGACACGGGCTGATTTACAAGGAAACTGGTGACTTTTCTGTAATTGAAGTCGTTAAAGTGCTGCTACCAATCCCTCCAATGGCAACCAGAATTGACATTTAATCAGGATTTAATATAGGTTGCTCAAATGATCTCTGGAAGAGCCCCGGCACTTGATTGCAAGAAAAATTCAGCTCTTTAAATCTGTATGGTTCATTTAGTGACAACAACTGGGTAAAAAACACACATCATTCATGCGACACACCTCATTCGGACCGATATTCGTTTTAAAATATATTTTAAATATCTCTGCATGCCTATGGGCTGCAGCCCGCCTTAAAAATCTAATGTCTTGTGCTCTCTCCACGTTATAACTATTGCCACGGAAGTGTCTGAATTCTACCAGAATTTGTCGTGTTTTTATAAAATATTTAAGTTGATGGTTCCATGGCCCAGAAGAGCTGCTGATGGCCTTTTAAGTGCAGTGTTACATTATATTAATCTTAACTTATTGCATAAAAAGTAAAAGATGGCTAGGCTGTATGATCTAATTTCCCATCATTGTCTCTTCCAATGCAGTTCTGGCGCTATTTATTAATTTTTTTCCGTAAAACTAATTTGTAGAGTTTTGGCATCGTGACAGAACGCCACTGCTGTAAGAGCCTCACACAGTAACAGCCAGTACAAGAGGAATGTTGGCTTGAGTTATTCTATGAGCACAAAATTAAAATGATCTATCATTTAAATACCCGCAATTTCTCCAAAAACCAGCGAGGCTGCTAATGAAGCCGCTTTGTTTTCATTGGTTCCTGTGAGAGGCGCATGTTTAATCGCTGGACGTCTGTTAAAAGAAAATTGATAGCTCAGCAGATTCCTCCAGTTCACAAAAAGATTCCGATCCCAGTTTCATTGCACAGAGCGGTTGAGTGCGTCCCACATTCTCCCAATGGACGTTAGTGCCGGCACACTTGCCAGTAAGAAGGTAATGTATCTAAACAGAGAATACAAACAAATCCTCTCATTTACTTTATGCAAAGCTAACAACAATTGGCAGCTCCCCTACCGTATACAGTATTCTAAATTTTAAAAGTATTGTCTGTCATGTGTACAAAAGCAGGTTATCTATTTCATTAATAGTTTTTATAACATCTCCTGCTTTTATCAAATAAACATGGCTGGTTTTGGTACGCATTTTGAAGAAGATGAAATCAGGATTGGTTTGTGGAGATGTGACCCGTGCATGGCAGGAGTACAGGTACTCCTCTACTTATGGACATTCTAATTGCGAACTTTCAGAGATACGACCAAACTTGCCCGCATGTCCAGTTGCAGCCTGTTCGACAGCTGTTCACAATACTATCGCCTGTGACAAGTTGATTTATGAAGAGAAGAAGAGAGCAACTGTGCAGACATCCCTGGGTAAGTTTTTCAAGAGAGTGGAGAGGAAACACGAGCACCAAAGGGAATTAGCATCTCCATCTGCAGGACGTGAAGAACCAGTGGCATGTACAGCTGCAGAACATGAAGAACCAGTGGCATTCCGCAGAACACGAAGAACCAGTGGCATTCTGCAGAACATGAAGAACTAGTGGCATATTGCAGAACATGAAGAACCAGTGGCATTCTGCAGAACATGAGGAACCAGTGGCAACTATATCTGCAGAACATGAAGAACTGGTGGCATCTCCATCTACAGGAGATTTTACCACTTTTAAAGCCATTCCCCGTGTTTAGTGTACACGCTCTAGAACATGTTTGGAATCGACAGGAGTAAAGATGGTCTTCCGAATTGTTTTACTTACAAACAGACCTGGAACCAAACTCGTTTGTAGGTAGAGGAGTCCCTGTAGAGGGAGAAGGGAAAGGTGGCAGACGGAGGATGCGGTGGAACAAAAACTTAGAGAGTGACCGTGACTCGAGAAGAAGGTGCAGAATAGAAAGGCTTGGGGGAAAGAAATTACAAGGGACCGACCCCCACACACAACAATGGAACTTTTGGCTGAGAAGGTGAAGGATATTTCTCGTAGGGTTAAAATTTAAGAAGCACGCAACCCCCCCACCTTGTTGCTGGCACATTGGCGGTGGGCGCCTGTGGACCTGGGTTCAGATTTTCGAACAGTGATTGAACGCGGGCAGCTGATACGGACGTGCAACACAAATATCAGCCAGCATGGGGGAGGAACAATAAGTAATGATGACATTAAAACGTAATTAGCGCTGGATGCTATTACTGCCGAAGCAGTTTGGGCCAGATTAAGGATGGGGAGAGCGCGTGCGCATGGCGTGGAAAGGAAGCGGATTTGTGCTGAATGTTTTTAGTGAAGCGTCTGTTTTTAGAGTGAGGACTGAAAGTGTCACAGTCTATTTGGGTAGTGCTTCCATCATATGCAAGGAAGGGCAGTTGAAATGCGATGTGTTATGCTGTGGAATGACATAATTTGTCACCATTCGAATCAAGAATTTATATTTTTGTTTCTACTGTCTCACTTCTATTGCTTGTATTGTACGTTGTTTCTCGTTCCGTTAGCCAGCACGTAATGTTTGCATGGACTTTGCATGTTATTGTTAATATGTTTGTTTCATGGGTGTCATATTTCATTATTCATCTTTCAATTCAGTCTTTTAAATGCTTACGATCAATAGTGACTTTGAACCAATGTCAGCGTCTCCTCTTTATAATAACGTTTGTGATGAAAATATCTTCTCCATTTCAGGCTGTTTATTAGGCATGTTGGTGATGCATCGATTCATCAGTGATAGATTTTTATGCTCAAGGTACACGGCATCAAATTCTGCATGCACGAGTTGATTATTTTAAATTTGTATACGCATGAAATCGGTTCGCATAAACCCTGCAGCCTATATTTGCTTACAATGGCAATTTTTTTAGCGATTTATGAATTACCACAATTCTAGGCCATGACAACTATTAATTATATGTCCAGTGCGAATAGTTACATGGTTACTGTTAATCACATTGCCATGTCAGACACTGAGAAGTGACATGATCCAGCCGGCTGGTGAACTACGATCTCATTACTTCACGGCTAATGGGTGAGGTCTGTCAATGATATATGCCTCTTTGGAAATTAATTTACAGACATTGGCCTGGGATATCATTTTGTATGCTCATTTCTGAACCTTATTACGGAGGGGTGGCCTGTGACGAGCACCCACACGCAGGCTATGGACGAGGCTTGTAACAAGTCACCCCTCACTGTGATTTGACGCTTTATCATAAATGTGGGTACACGATTCAATTCAATCCTTTGATTACTATCTTAAAAAAATAATTACCGTCGCGTCTGTACGATCACTCTCTATTCGTTACATTAGCCTGATGGTAACATTTGAGTGATTTGCATATCCTGTAAATCATCTGTTTTGCATGCACTATTCTGTGTGCTCTTCGCGAGCATACTAATCGATGTTGATTGATTAATCGGCATTAACTCAGTTACCATGCCTTATGTGGAAACATCGGGTGGAGCACTTTCTCATCGTTTTGCACAGTGCACTACGAACTTGGCGACCCGAGGTTCTTTTCTTGCCATGGCTAACATCAGCGGCAGGTATCTGAATCGGATCCTGTGCTTCCCCTTCACAAACTTGCACTGACCAGGATGACAAAGTTTAACCAAACAACTCCACATGGTCGACACGGCATGAGGAGGCACTCATCCAGCATTGGATTGACAAATGACTGTAAGTGATCACGTACGCAGTTTAATACTTGGGTAACGTAGTAGCGGAGGCCATATAGATGTGTGACGGCTAGGTGGCTCGCTCGCATAAAACAGCTGGGCATTGCGTTGTGGGTGCCGGCTCTGACGTGGCGGGGTGCTGTTGACCCGGTGTGCAGGGGTGCTGGAGGACCCTCGCGACGGGCTCTGCGGCAACGAAACGCGCACAAGTCCCCGCACCCAATGCAAGCGAATCAAAGTGGAACACGAGAGTGAGAAACCCGCACATTTCGTTACGGTGGGGGGAGGGGGGTGGTGGGACACACACCATGCACACACACCATGCACACACACACCACACGCACACGCACACGCACACACACACCACATAGCTTTGTGATGATATCGGCTCCATCTTGTTGACCCCGCATAATAATTGCGTAAATATGAATGTCGTTAAACTCGCCACCACCTGACACAGCCAATTAGTAAGTTTTATCGCCACGTAAATACAACATTCCAATTAGTTACTTTCTCAGCAAACCGGTGTGTTGGAGGGTAAACCACATTCTGTTTACGTGACAAACCTTATTAATTGGCTGTGTCGGGTGGTGGCGGGTTTAACGGCACATTTTTTCGAGCGGACAAATCTCCGAACGTAACTCAGAGCCCAGCTCGTAGAGTTTCTGCTGGAGCAGGTGCATCTTCAGGTGTTTCTTGTGAACGGTGACTTTATGCTGTGTTCGTGAAGGGGGGTAAATTCCAGATAGCGGGGGGAGTGACCACGAAGGACCGATGATCTCACAGTTACTGTCTTTGAATTGCAGACAACAGGCAGCTGAAAGAATGAGCTTTGCAGAAAGAACACTTATCCAGCAAAGTCTCACCCAATGTCTCTTTCATTCACTCTCTATTCTCCACAACAACACTCATGATTGTCGTGTTGTGTAATATATAAGCTCGCGTCGAACGAGGACCCATACCTTAAAGAGAGGTTCCCCGTCCATAACATCTGGAATTGCCACCAGCATTGGTTCAAGCCAGTCTGACTGCTGATGAGGGGCTGTTTTTCGAAACACGTCCAGAGTTTGCTCATGTTGAACCAATGTCGGTGAAACGATGCATTCCAAGCCCTTTTGGTTGATGGATTGTATCAAATGACCTTTATTTTGTTATGTGCATATGAAGGAGACATATCGTCTGCTTCTTTATTTCACGACTTATATTCTGTACAACAACACCAATTATTATTTGTATTTCATTCAGAATTGTCACTCCCTTTCATTTGAGTGTTTGGCCAATTCTGCAATGAATACATTTACACGCATGAGGAAAGCAGCATACGTGTAAAGTAGCCTTGCGTTAAAGGGGTTCACACTCAATGAGCCGTGCACAGAGGTCAGAAATACATTTTCTGTACTTCCTTAACTGGTCACCTCGAAGGCCAGCAGTTTGAAAGTGCAGCCTAATGTAGAATAAACTAACCTTGCTTCAAAGCATCGGATTACAAGCGTTTAGCACCACACGCATCACACATGCGTACATGCATAGACGTATGGACATATATATATATTTTCCTTTTGTTCAAATATTAATGTCTCCCAACGTGAGTATCTACAAATTCTAGATTTTACGTTTTCGTGACTGCAGGGACCCATACTCTTTAGTTCTTTCGATAAAGTCATGTCGGTATAAAATAAAATAAATTAAATACGACGTTTCTGGCGCAATACACCTAATGACAGACGCTTGTGTTGTGCCCGAAACGTTGTGATTTAATCTATTTTATACCTACGTGCCTTCTCAGAAAGAACCAAAGAGTAGAGTATCTACAAAGTTTGGTGTGTTTATAGCTGTCGCTAAGCTCATTGGTCTAAATATCTAGCAGCTTTTAAAACGATGTTCACGCATTAATGATTCATGAGTCAACTAACGCACCTGATGGCTTGCGTTGCCGTTCACATGCAAATTAATTCAAAATGAATATCCCTTGCAAATTATTCCAAATGAGGGCATTTATGTGAGTAATGCACACCTTGGGAATTAAAGCAAACGCTGAGATTATTTATAATTTTTCATTACACTTTTCTGAATCAACATGCTGGGCAATTTTCTCTTTATGGGTACAGGTGTGTGTGTGTGTGTTTCTCCCTCGCAAAAGATACACACCGACTCCTCTCAGTGGGCTCTCACCCCATTAAACAAGTTAAATACCGGCGCTGGTTGTTTTTTTTGTTTGTTATTGACAACGCACTACGTGGTGGTGCTGTGGTGCTGAATAACAGAGCAGGGCAATGTGGACAGCGGCGTCGCATTGGATGGGGAGAACAAGAGCAGAATGTGGATGGCCGTGAAGCAGGAAAGGAACGCCACCTGTGACGGTAGGTCTTGCACAGCTCGTTGTGTTGACCCTTACTATTATTTGAAATATTTTTGGTTATTTTACCAGGTAAGGCCCCACTGAGCTACGTAGCTCTTTTTCGGAAGCGACCTGGCCATCACTAATTATTGCTCGGCGAAAGTGGCTTATCATCACGTGGACATTTATAGCAGCCAAATACACTTAAATGTGCTTTGATTGTAAATGTGGAGGGAAAAACCGGAGGACCCGGAGAAAAATTCACCTGATTACTACGGGAAGAGAGACATGCAAACTCCAAATATACAGGCGTCACGGTTGGGATCGAATCCATGACGTCCTGCATACCAGGCGAGGCACTATACATCTCACCACACCTTTTAGCACATTCTCTGGAACGTTCGCCACCACGTGCTACTGGGGGGGCCATCTTTAGGAGTTGGAATTGAGGAATCCTGCCTGTCTCATTCGTTCTGGTTGTCGCGAAGACCAGGTGTTATGTTCCTCACTTAAACTCCTAAAGATATGGTGCATAGGGGCGAAAGCCTGAGAGAAGATTAAGGCTAATTTTAGAAACATGTCTTCAGATTATTTAGCTGCTTTAAATTTTCGATTTAAAGCTTTCATGACTGTAGGGATTCATATTCTTGGTTTTTTCTGTAAAGTCACGTAGAAGGGAAATAATAAAATAATAAAAATATAAAACATAATAAAATTAAATTCTCACTACGTTTCGGCCACAACGCAAGCAGCCGTCCTCAGGTGAAGAAACAGAGCTGTCGGAAAGACATTTGGACGCTGTCTTTCCGACAGCCCTGTTCTTCACCCGAAGACAGCTGCTTGCGTTGTGGCTGAAACGTCATGAGAATTTTATTTTATTGTGTTTTATTTTTATTATTTTATTATTTCCCTTCTACGTGACTTTACCGAAAGAACCAAGAATATGCTTAAAATTTCTACTTGACAAGCCACTCCATTGAGCTACCGTTTGCGGCCAGGTTGCTTCTGAAAAAGAGCAATATGGCTCAGTTGGCCTTACCTGGGATTTTTAAAAAGTCAAGTTTATTATTTTTAATGATTGGCTTACCTTTTCTATACTTTGCACTCCTATCGTGTTTTTAAAATTTGTTTTTGTAACTTTCTGACCCGCCCCTACTGGAGATCTGTGAAAAAAACAGCCGTACAGCTCATTGGATTTCTGCAGGATAAATAAAGATTCTAACCCGGAGATCTCACACTTCCATTCTATGTGTGGCTCGAGAAAGTCCGTGCTGAATTGTGGTTGCGCCACTTCTAAAGTGGGTGTTATGCTGTTTCATGTTGCTGGGGGAAGACAGCTCTCATTCCTTTGTCCACAAACACACAACAATATCAAAGTCCATTATAGAGTTGTTTTGGTTAGATCGCGTAATTATAAATGTGTTGTTAAACCCGTCGCCACCCGATGCAGCCAATTAGTAATGACAGCTAGCATCATCAGGCAGACAGCCAGAGCTGTGGAGAAATCCTCAATCAGGTACAAGGTCAGAGTGTTGGGGGGGGGTGAATCTCTGCATCTAAATTACACATTGATATTTACGCAATCGAACCCAAAAACCTCTTATATGGGTAATATTGGCGAAAGCCTACTGTTAAGTATTACAAGTTCAGGGGTGGATGGCGGGTGGGGGGGGGGGGAGGGTGCGAGGGGGTGGGTGGAGGCGGAGGAAATAAAGATGACTCCAGTTTTCCGTCACGTGTTCTCTTAAAATCTGGAGATTCTATGTTTCTGATAAATTAGTTCAGAATAGCTCAAAGACCTTTGTCATTTCACAGCCGGATGAAGGTCTTCCCATGCTGTGTCAGTTATGAGAGGTGGGGGAGGGTTGTCCATGCTTTTCCACGCTGTTGAGTGCAGGTTGGTGAAGGTTGGTGAAGGGGGCTCCCAGGGCCAGTTCAAATAATCGTTTGCTGCTTATGTTAGTTGTAGCAGGGAGTCAAAGTCACGTTTCTATGCTCAATGCAATTTGATAACCACTGCACCACTGCTTAACATGCGTTTGCAGTGAAAACGATTTCACTGAACGATTTTTTATTTTTCCATGTAAGGCCCACTGAGCTATGTAGCTCTTTCTCAGAGGTGATCTGGCCATCATATTTTAGCTCAAAGAAGTTGCTTATCACGTGGTCATTTATAGCAGCCATATACTCTTCACACATATTTCTAAACGTGGAGGGAATAACCGGAGGACCTGGAGAAAAATTCAGGCGAACACGGGGAGAGAGACGCAAACTCCAAATATACAGCAGGCGTCAGGGTCGGGATCGAACCTACGACCACTCCTGGACACCAGACCACCAGACGAGGAGGTTAACATCTCGCCACCATGGCGCCCCCCACTGACTAGTGCGGTAAAGACATGGCCAAACAACCCAGAAAGTGACCTGGCCGCAAATGATAGCTCAACGAAGTAGCCTATCATTGCAAACAAATGCTTTTAACAGTAATGGCGGCGTGTGCTTATTTCCCCTGCAGACTGGTCCAGGGGCACGGAGGGTGGCTGGGATGCCCATGGGATGGACGATTACCATCAGCAGCAGCAGCAGCAGCACGAGCAGCAACAGCAACAGCACCAGCAGGCACACGACGGCGCAGAGGGGTTTGTGGCAGCGGAGGCGACCGACCCGTCCATCAGCACATTGGACTGGCGGAAGATCTACGAGAGGAACCGCATGGCGGGACACCAGCAGCAGCGGAACAGGAGGTCTGGGATGACGGCGGCGTACAGGAAGAAGGGGCTAACTGCAGGTGGGGGCCCAGTCTCTCACTAGGGACAGCTGCCGTTGACTTTCACAAAGTGGTATTTTTATTTTATTGACTCAGAGCCATGATGAGTTCAGTTGATCCCCCCCCCCCCACCCGACTGCAATTTGAACTTTTGAAGGCTTTGAAAGTCTCGGTTGATGTAATTTGTGAGGGTAGGTGATTTTTGAGCAACAGCGTGCAACCTTGTTGTCAGTCCACTGCGGGGGGAGGGCCCTCCCCCACACCATGCGACTCGTGGGGATCGTTTGAGCGTACTGCACCCTTGCTGGTCAGTGAACGTGTCGGGAGCATATCGATGTGGGAGCTTAGAAATCGCAGAACAACAATGGATAATGCAGTGCTTCCCTCTTCTGCCCACCATATCGCCCCCGCAGCAGCCCGATGTTCGATGCATTGTGGTCGCCCATCCAAGCACTATCCAGGCTCAATATTTCTTCGCGTCTGAAATCTTGACGAGATCGGACAAATTTACGGGTTATTTGGTCGTCATCATATTAACATTATTGATAGGATGTTTTATATTGTATTCCTAATTGGAGTGTAATAAATGAACGATGTTAGGAGGGTAACTTTTCGATGAAAAACAAGACCATTGACAATTTCCGAGAAGGTAAAAACGAACGTGTCCGAGGTAATTTAGATTTAGATTTTATTTATTTCAGGAGGAAGGGCCCAATGAGCTGTGTTAGGCTCTCATTTCATGGGTGTCCTGATATTGCAAAGAGCTTTGGGCTGTGCCTTGACTCTTTTCAAAGCACCTGGTAAGGAATTGGCTAAACCTTCCAGAGGAGAGCCCTCCCAGGACCAGCCGTGATGCTCGGCGATTCTTCCTGAGTAGTGCCCACGTTATTTTATTCAATCCTACTCCTATTTCCTCGTATTTTTCTCTTTTATCTTGTTTCGTCAAACAGTAAAAATAAGCCTTTAAATTATGACAACTCCCTCGAAGCGCCGATTAACAAAGCAGACGACTCTGGGTGTCCTGATCCTCATTATTGATGCTTTCATAGATAGCAATGTTCATTTTATGAACAGATTTAATGACCAGAATACAGTGAAACCTTGGATTGCGAGCATAATTCGTTCCGGAAGCGTGCTCGTAATCCAAAGCACTCGTATATCAAAGCGAATTTCCCCATGAGAAATAATGGAAACTCAGATGATTCGTTCCACAACCCAAAAATATTCATATAAAAATTATTAATACAAAATACTGCACCTTTTTATATTTGTATTTAAATTTAATATAAAGTAATCAAATGTATTAATTACATTTAATCGTGGCTGGTGTGAGGGAGACGAGAGAGAGGAGGAGGGGGGAGGGGGCCATTGTTGCAGTACATTTACTAAAGAACAGTCACTACACTTGGACACAAAATAAAAAAATGCTTTACGCACACACACGTGGTCACAACACTATAGTAAACAGTATACGCTCGCACGGATGTTGACTATACGAGTGAGGCACGCCGACTGAGACCGAGCATCGGAGATGATTACCCACAATCCCGCAGCGAGAGAGAGAGAAGAATCATTGGCTCAGTTGTGATCACGTGACGCTCGGCAGACAAAGCGTATACTGTACGTACTGCTCGTATTGCAAGGCCTCGCTCGTTTATCAAATAATTATTTATTTAAAAAATTTGCTTGTCTTGCATTACACTCGCAGACCAAGTTACTCGCAATCCAAGGTTTCACTGTATCAACAAAACGCTTTTTATTTTAATTCAAGTCAATGATAACTACGAATGGACAAAAAGCAAATGTGATGACCAGGGCCGTCCATATGGAGGGGACTGGGCTCGGGGCAAAGCACACTGTGTGGGCCCCCCAACGCCTTCAAACTAAACCAGAAGTATTACATCGGACACCGTGACGTGGAAGCGAGGGGGCGCCCCGAAGTGCAGGGCCCGGGGCAGTCGCCCCGATTCTCCATACCGTAGGGATGGCTCTGATGACGATTACAACTACCCACCAACGAGTGAAGCATGTCCGACTGACAAGGTGAAATCGACGAGTCTGAATGACCACGCAGATGGAGATAATGTTGTTACCTTATTGTAGACTGCAGTGACAGTGGAAGATTGAAACTGGTCATTGGCTGTATATATCAGATTTACTGAGTTTATCAATTGTCTGACCTGATAGAATTGTGAAGAGGGGGGGTGATTGCCATGCTCCTTACGCCAACATTTAATCACTAAGAATGTTTTGACTAAATGTTTGACTGCATTGGTCTACTATTCAATTAAATCCAAAAACTACGACTCAGCAAGTTCCACATGTTGTCTTGAAACAAAAACGCCTACTAAACTAACACTGCCTCACAGGAGCCAGCAGCGAGGATACGAAGGGTCGGCAGTTCCGCGCGGTCTCGGGCGACCTCCACGACTCGTCGGTGCAGAGCTACGAGTCGTACGACGACGGCTTCCAGCCACACGAGGAGCAAAACTTCTCGGAGGGGGGCGACGAGACGTGGCCGCTGCGGGACGACCGGAACTCTTCTTGTGCCATCGCGCAGCAGCTGGAGGAGCAGCAGGCGGGCGGCGACGACGGCGGCGGCGGCGATGACGGCGGCGGCAACGGCGCTGGTTTCGGCGTCGAACACCTGGCGCTGTGTTTCCCCAGCGGCTCGATGGACGACAAGCCATTCCGCTGCGAGGAGTGCGGCAAGACGTTCCGGCAGAGCCACCACCTGCGCGTGCACCGGCGCAAGCACACGGGCGAGAAGCCGTACTCGTGCGACACGTGCGGAAAGCGCTTTGCGCAGTCGGCGCACTTGGTGACGCACCGGCGGATGCACACGGGCGAGCGGCCTTACATCTGCATGGTGTGCGGCAAGGGGTTCGCGCAATCGTCACACCTCACCTTGCATCGCCGCAAGCACATCATGGACGGCATCCGCGCGTCGGCTGACAACGTGGTCGGCCATCAGATCATCGACCTGGATCCGTCCATCATCATCGAATAGTTGTCGGAGAGTTATTTAAAGAGTAACGGGCGAGGAGGGGAATTATAAAGGAAAAGCCAACGTTATATGTTTTTGTCGTCCTGTTACGTCGCAGTATGCGAGAAACTCTGACTGGGGAATATTTTGTAAAGCTGGCAAACTGTTGATGGAGGAGGAGAAAACTCCCCACCCTGCATTGGTGTGTTGTTCAGCGTGAAACTGGTTTAAATAATTCACGGAATTAAATAGTCCTAAAGTGGTAATATATCCAACTACCTTCCAGTATATTGGTCAATGACGAAAATGTTTTACTTTGATGAAAATTTAAGATGTCTAAGGAGTCTCTAAGGGTTTGGAATCCAGGTTCAAGAGGTCGTCGGTCAATACGACCGTGCGACTTGTGTGTTTTAAGTGGAGAAAATATTTGTTACAATATGGTGCATCATTCCATTTACTCAATTTTTTTCCCATGGGATAGTTTAAGGTAAAAGAACCGAGAATCAAAAATATTACTTAACTTTCCAGGCACATTTTTACTGAAGATACAAAAACTACTAACATGTATCTGATTATGGCGTTTTTTTAGAGAGTGCGTGTATGGAGTTCATAACGACAAGGGTGGGTTCATGTGCATGGGTGCCATATCAAATGGTTTTACAACCTCAATGGCTCGAATGGAGCTGCTTCTATATATGACAGCCACTGCTTGCAGATGCAGCAGTCACTCAGTAGCCAGTCAGAGCTCTCACTCCAGTCTTCGCAAGCCCTGCCCATATCCAAATCTGCCAATATATATCGATGCTGATCAAGAACCATTTCGCTCCTTATTAATAGTGAGGATCAAAATTTAAAGTGTCTTTGGGTGGCGTGTATCTCCTTTTGGTGGTACGGAGAGAGCGGTGGGGATTTCTGTATTTGCCTATTATAAATTTCCACGTGATAAGCCGTTTCGTTGGGCTGTCATTTGTGAAAGCCAGGTCGCTACTGAAAAAAGCTACACTGCTCCCTGGGCCTTACCTTGTAAAATAAAAAAATGTTTAGTTGATGTGCTCCCGCCACTGCAAGTGACAAAGCCTCCACTAGAGGGAGCTTCTATATAAAGTGCTATACTCCGTCCCATCTGGAGGATACATTTACTTTAAAATGAAAGGTTTTTTTTATCAAGGCATTTAGGATTTGTTTTAAGCGCGCGAGTACCTTTCAATGTTCTACCACAGTGGTGATGTAGGGAAACCTAAAAATAATGTTTTAAGTCACTGCCATAGACAAGCTAATTTGTTGTAGCCGGATGTGAAGACTGGAATATGAGCAATTCACGTAACATTGGTAAAGTATTGAAAACTCCAGTGGAATAAACATGACTGTATTCTCTGATGTTGAATCTATAATTTGGCAAAAACTGAAACTTATTTTTTTGCCAATAAGGGAAACTCAATCACCTTGAATGTGCCCAATCTTCAAATGTCAAAAGCTAAGCACAACTGAGCCTGAATGGTGCTTGAGTGGCTGATCACCATGCAACATCTTCTGCAGGACTACATTGTCAGGAGAGGGCAGGGCAGTTAAAAAGTTGCACTGTACTATGCTACCACGTCTATGCTCCCCATCTTTGCCACGCCACAATTTGTCAGCATGGTGAAGTGTGGTCAAACACCACTCACGTCCTGCACAGCTTGGATAGGCCCTCATTCAGCAGTGGATTGGTAAGAGTGGGCCCCCACGGTGATGAGATGTTAACTGCCTTGCCTGGTATATAGGAGGTTGTGGGTTCAATCCCGACCCTGATGCCTGCTGTATATTTGGAGTTTGCACGTTCTCCCTGTGGTGGCGTGCATTTTCTCCATGTCCTCCACATTTAGAATCAACACGCTTCAGAGTATTTGGATATTATACATTTCCATGCGACGATATAATCCACTTAATTGAGCTATCATTTGTGATAGCCAGGTCACTTTTGAAAAAGAGCTATGTAGCTCAGTGGGCCTTACCTGGTAAAAACAATTGTAAAAATAGTAAGAGCTGCACTAGTTCATGCAAGGCATCACCAAAATACAAGATAATCCTTCAGCGTTTTTGTGCAGCACTTTGTTTCATCAGCCCAAACTGAATCCAGTTGTTGGGTCCTAAGTATGAGGTCACATTCTGCAATGCAATGGCCAGCCAAGAATCACAATTGAAAGCATTGTTTTTAGGTTGCGTGGGTTTTCATTTTAAAATGAAAGTAACGTGTGAAAAAGAGTATTTATGTAAGTTAAAATTGTATTCGTTTAATAGTTAAAATGGTTGTGCATCAGCATCACCAATTCAATGATACAAGTATTTGCTTTGTGTGAAAAACAAGTTCCACAGAAATATCCATCGGAATGTTCATCTTTTAACATCTTTATTTTCACTTTACCAACATTAAATGGGCAAATTTGCAACTCGCCGGCTATGTTTGCTATGCAAGTTTGTGAGGGGGTTTGGTAAACCAATATTGAAGTGCAGCTATAATTAGTGTTAATTTGTGGAAATATTAGGTTTCCGAGGATTGGTGGTGTGAAGTATGGTATTGTGTTAAATGGGAAGTTTGGTTGTAACGTGCCACATTTGCAGTTAAGTGATCTTGAATATCCTGAGACTTCATAAGCAGAGTCTGCAGCATTCATTATTAACATTCCAAGTTTTAATTACGCGGCTAACCTAAGGTCCGACTGGTGCAAACAGATGTGAGTGTGTGACATTCTTAAATATGAGTTGGTTGGCTGGGGACAGGCATTGTGTTTTTAGTCTCGATTAAAGCAAAATGTGTAATAAAAACATTTGCAATGGACGCATCAAGACACTTTGACCAGTTGCTACACTCAACTCACAGTGGAATGCAGGACGGTAAACCTTTTTTTCACTGTACAACCAGGCCTCGCTTGTGCCGTGTCGAGCCATCCCGGAGCACCTCAGGAGTCGCCAGGTAGTCTCCTCCCACCGCAGAGTACAAATGGTGGTGTCGCCATCGCACGTTCACGTGTGCTGACATGTAAAGTAGGACAAATAATTTAACCCTCTCTTTACCCCCTTCCGCTTCTGGCTCTGCTTACCCCAGAGCCGGATTCAGATGTCTCGTGAAGGGACAGAGTTTCATGCTTTGTTTTTGACTCAGTACTGCAAATAGCGAGTGGGGAAAAACCAACAACTTGGGAGGGTCATGCACTGGCACGGCTTGGATGTGCCAATGGAAAAGGTTTGTGATGCCATTTTTCCTCAGTCACATCGAACAGGGCTGGCTCTGCTGGAACTGGTGGGCTGGGTCCAAACGTCTTCATTCCCCCACAGCAGTCTTCCCGGGCCGAGCGTAGCATCCCTGCCCTCGGATCCTGTTGAGAAACCCAAACCCCACAAGTTTTTACTTGCTTGGCTCAACGCAAGAACCACTCGTGATGTCACGGGGTCATCGAGTAAGCAGAAGGCACGCACCGTAACTTCGGTTCAACTTCCTTGCATATATTTTGCGCTAATAGTAATGGAAAATGTTGTCATGCTTAAATTACCCGACCTCTTGTCCAAGCCTCATTAAACTTTGTATATTTTTTGTTAAAAAATAATTTTCTGATCACACTCCCTGGCCACGCAGAGTTAAATGGAGGATGGAGCAATAGGGTCAGGTGCACAGAGCCTCGTGGAGTGCGGAGAGACAGACCTGGGTCCTATTGATGATCCCATATCAAAATTGGTGCATTCCCAGCACGGCAGAGCTCCGTTCTCTGTGGTCATGAAAATGGTGCAATAGCTTCTAATGGCAATTTGTGTTCTAACTGGGAATGGAATCACAAGTGTTTCTTTGGTGTCCTCAAACCTTGATCTCTTGAGACAAAGCTTCCAGACACTTTATCTTTTCCCACCGTGCAACCAATGCCGTGTCAGGGTGCCACGCTGATTCCATCTGGTGCCAATGTAGGCGGTACCAGGTTGAAAATGTCATGAACCCCACACGTGGCCCTGCTTGATCCTGAGCCAGATTCGGATGTCTCGAGGCCAGGTTCTCATGCGTCCAGTTCCGCCATGACCTGGCCAAATATCCAGTTGCGAGGGGGGGGGGGAGAAACATCTCGTACCGTGAGGGGAACCCGTGGTGGCCTTGGCTTGGAAGTTGCCAGTGTAAAAAATGGGTGTGTGGCTTCACGTTACCATTGGTTGTATTATTCGTAGGTGGCCTCGGCTATTGACTGATCGTACCGGCAGACAAGGTGCTAACCACGTTGTGCTGCTGTGTGGCCACGTCTGTCCAACACACGAGAAAGGACACCAAAACTCAGTGGATGTGAATCGCATGACAGTCATTTAAGCCTCATGAAGCCTTCACCGTGATTTTTTTCCACGAGCTGCAACCAACACGGTGCAGATAACCGCCAAGCTAAATGGCCCTCCGCCAGTGTGTGTGATTCATGCTCTGCATCAATTATTCACAGATTTCCATTAATGTGGAAGAAAGCATATCTGACCTGGCAGCCTCCCATTCTTCAGTATCATGAGTGTTATTGGTTGTTGGGTTATGGCTCATACAAATAACTGAAATGAAATATTTAGATACATTGTTTTTTTTAGGCCAGGCTACACTACACTACCACCACCACCGTGAAAACAGTACTGAATCTGGCGTGAGAGAATCGTTATCAATGGGCCACTTCCATTAACGCCACGACCAAATGCACTCCTCACTTTCATCGCTGCCAAATGTTAACGATCTTCATGGCGAATTAACGGTGTGGGTGAATGCCCTCCACGCTGTTTGTCAGTTAAACGGGGCATATGCAGTTGTACCAGGACGAAAGGAGTCCTGCAGCGGAGGTGCGCAATACACCACACGCCTAAGCGACAGAGTTATTCGCGGTAGGCTTGTAGGCTTAGAGCGTGAATTGAAGAAAGGCAAAGCACTGTGTACTTGGACGGTGGTGGGAGAACCGTCCTGGTATTGCAGCATTTTCAGGTGATGGTATATATTTTGTTTTAATCGTGGAACATTATTTACATTGGCTGTACGAAAGGTAAAAGGTTGCACTATTTTGTTTGCTGGGTTTTTATTATCAGAAAGTTGTGTTTTTATACTACATGTTTTTTTTTGTCAGTTTACCAAGGCAATATTGTTGTGATTTGAACAAAGACTCATGTATTGGCTTATTTTGTTACTCTGCCCTCCATTTGTCATAGATAGGTTTGACTGAACCCGAGCTTCGGCTGTAGAACTCATCACGAGGGAAGGAGGGGTGGAGCTGGTCACACGCAAGTTTGGTAAAATGTGCAATAACAGTAATTGTCTTTGGTAATTCACTGTGTAAAGCTCTTCCGATATGCTGTCAAACATCTTCATTTCCTGAAGAAGCTCCCAGCACGTGCGGCCAAACGTCGGACAGTACGCCAAACAAAAGAGTATGCCAAGTAACGTGCGGTTACAACCCTAAAACGCATTTGGAGAGCTGTGACAGCACATCTGCGAAAACCCGACGTAGTGATATTTCGTTTACATGATCCTGCACACTTGCGGGTGATTGACTCCGCACCCAGTCTGTAGAAGCAAGCAAATTAAGATGCTTATATTCTTTGGATTCTAAACACCCGTAAAGCCAAATAAGTCTTAATAAGGCTTGAGTGCTTGTGAGTCATAAAATAAGTATGGGATTAGGTGCACACAAATGCAAATTCATCTCCAGCATCAGTGTCAATGCTTACAACCAAATGTGTTAAATCCCCATCGACTTGACATTTAAACAATTGGAATTCTGTATTGTATATCCAGTAGTCAATGCTAATTTTTTTTCTCAGAGTAGCAATCATCTTGTTTTTAAGCACATGGAATGAGAGTAAATATTGTATTTATAGCCTTAAGTACGATATGCCTTGGTTTATTTTGTAAGCCAAAATGCATCTTTTAACCTGCTAATACGTGTACGGTGTCACTGCACAGTGAATGGCACATGGTGGAGAGGCGTGTGTGGGACGATCACAATTGTTGTCATGGACAAAAATAAGTGAAACTGATTTTTATTTCTTAATGTCATCTGTATGAAATTCAAAAACGAAATAAACGTGTGCTTTGTTTAAATTAGTCTACAGCCTTCTTTGTTCCTAGGTAAGTGCTAGTTTTTTGTTAAATTCTTATTGCATGTTTATTTTGGAAAGAGGTAGATATATTTTATTTAATCAACTAATTATTAAACGTAGGCTTTTAACAACATTAATTGTTTGCACATTGCATAAAGAGCACTCTTGATTAAAAGTATTGGTACTTTACAAGGAATTCCTGGGTAAAATCTTACCCCCATGCTGCGATTTGATAATTGGTAAGCATACAACAGTATTGCCAATTTATTATATAATATTACAACATTAATTGTTTGCACATTGCATAAAGAGCACTCTTGATTAAAAGTATTGGTACTTTACAAGGAATTCCTGGGTAAAATCTTACCCCCATGCTGCGATTTGATAATTGGTAAGCATACAACAGTATTGCCAATTTATTATATAATATTTAAAAAAAGGATGCATCCCTAAAAGTTATTGTGCACGCCACTGCTCCTTAAGACTGCCTCTCCTGGAGGTATTTAGACAACCTTCCGTGCTGACCAGACACGTTCGTTTGCTCTTGCAGAGAATCGATGTTCCAATCCCGTCAGGCCACCCTGGTTAATACACCGCGGGTGCATTAACCGTAAGACAATCGCCGTCCGCTTCACAAGTGTACGCCAAAGATCCAGTGAGCTCATTCACAGAGGAGTTAAACATTACTCGCAAGTTATAAAGTGTCCCCTACTGCAAAAACACTAGGACCCTACATTCAGTCTGAAGACTTAATGAGTCTTTCAGGGTAAAGAAGTGTAATGTTAATACTACCAATTAGTAGAGTTGACGGTGTTACAGTTAGAGATGTGTTTGGTTCACGTCCAAAGTCAATTTATGTCGTGTTGCTTTTCAGGATTACAAATTAAATATGGCTTCATCTTCTTGGTTCTTTCGGTAAAGTCACGTAGAAGGGAAATAATAAAATAATAAAAAATAAAACAGTAAAATACAATTCTCACGACGTTTCAGCCACAACGCAAGCAGCCGTCCTCAGGTGAAAAACAGGACTGTTGGAAAGACAGCGTCCGAATGAACACTGCTAAGCTTGGCAGCGTATATTTAAGCTGGGTTAGAGGAGGAGAGCGCCTTGACAAAGGAATTTACATACCAACAGATGAATTTAGCATATTTATGTAAAATGCAGATATGGGATTAGTCACTACTTGTGGAATGTGTAGGTGGTGGGGGGGGGGTCTCAAAGTCATATTATGCTCGTGTATTATGTAGGATTAGCAGTAATAAAGGGAGGAAGTAGGATTAGCAGTAATAAAGGGAGGGAATTTTAATAGTAAGGAGCTGCAGCAGCCAAACCACCACGTGGCCGAAACGTCGTGAGAATTGTATTTTTTGTTTTATTTTTATTATTTTATTATTTCCCTTCTACGTGACTTTACCGAAAGAACCAAGAAGATGAATCCCTGCAGTCACGAAAGCTTTAAATCGAAATTTAAATGTCTTGTTTGGGTCCGAATTGGTGACCCACTCGAGGTTTCACTGCTGCCACATTCCACGCCCACAGCGGCGCCGCGCGGCATTGTGGGTCTCCGCGCATCCACAGCCATGGCCGCGTCTCTGTCGCTCACCCAGGTCAGTGCCACTTCGCCTTTCACTTCTCCTCACCGCGTTACTCCACCACCTCCAAACTTTCACCGGCGAGCTCGATGCGGATCCCGCGTCGGTTCGTGCCCGCGGACTCCGCGCGTCACCTGCCGCGTTCGTCTCTCCGCGACGCTCGCCGCGGTGCCCAGCTAGGCCCCGATGTCGACACCGGTCTTGCCTAGTTTGTCCTGCCGGGATCACACGGCCCTCGGGCGGGTCGCGGATGCCGGGCGAGGTTGGTGTCTATCAGCGTCGAAGCAAGGACATTTAAAAAATAAAGTGATGCAAATGTAATGTGTTTACTAAAAAAAACCACTGAGAATATTTATTCGTGACTTTGCACGTACCAACATAGTCTTTGGTTATGGTTAAGTTTGTTGTTAGATTAATGTGTTGTAATAATCGGCAGTGTACTGTATGCTGGTGCGATGTACGGTACGTCAGACTGAATCTGTAATAATCGCCAGCCACGGTCTATCCACTGCTGGATGAAGGTCTCCGCCCGACGCTTTCGCCGAGCCTCACGCCCCAGTGCTTGCTGCCTTCCCACCCGCACTCGCGCAGCTCCGTGAAGTGATTTTGTCGCTCCACCTCCCTCGGTGGGCGTCCTGTAGGACGATATCCCTCCTTTGGCTTGCCGCTCGCTCCGTCCATCGGTCATCTCCACTCCTCTACCTGGAACCCATAGGATCTCTCCCGTCCTCTCGGGGTGGGATGGCCGAGTGGACGCGACATCTCTCCCATGCCTGTCATTAGCGCCGCGGTGGCGAGAAGTTAACGACCTCTCCTGGTGTGGAGGTGGTCGTGGGTTCGATCCCTTGACGCCTGCTGGATGTTCGGAGTTTACGTGGTTCGCTCTTCGTCGTGGTCCCACATTTAGAATGAACGTGCGTTGTCGACTAAGATAAAAGCCACTTGGTTGAGCTATCGTTTGTGGCCAGGTCGCTTCCGAAAAAGAGCTGTACAGATCGGTGGGCTTTACCAGGTAAAATAAATATAGTTGAGTACTGTAGTTGCTTAGTTTCTGGCACTCGTCTGGGACATAATCCATCCCCGCCCAGCGATATGATGTGTCCTGCCAAAGCCCAGTTAAATATGCTACATGTCACGACGGTATACTGTATTAATATCGTTACGACTTTAAGTGCTACAGTTGTGAGAGTAGTGTAACCGCTAATATTCAAATATATGTAGTCGTGTTAATATTAAAGTTGAGAGACAACGCAGCTTCGGACGTTTGGTTGCCTACCTGGGTTGTTGTCAACAATTGTCCAACTGCGAGTTTGCAGTAGTTAAGTGAAAAACAAAACCACACAAATGAATTTAAAACGGTGGCTCTCAACCTTGTGTTGGCGCTGTGGCGCCCCAATAAACCGTCTCCCACGCCACACCACACCACACACGCTCGGAGTGTTTTGTCGCCTGCGTTGTGGCATTGACTGTTCCCAGGCGCACGGTCGGACACATTCAGCGCTGCGTGTCCACGCAGCAGCCCGCGCCGCCAACCTCTGACCAGCTTCGAGCCTGTGCCCCACCCTGTTGTAGTTGACAAACCGCACGAGATGTATATATATATAGTCTATTCATTATCAGATGATACGATCTCAAGGTACGCCTATCATTCAGTTGTTTGTTTAGGTTGGACGGTTGGGGGAATGTGATCGGTGGTTCAGGGGTTTAGAGTGAGGGGGGGTTAGAGTTCAGGTTTAGAGTTAGGGGATTCGCTGGTTAGGGTGTAAGGGGTTTAGGGGTTAGGTTCTTTATGGGATTATGGGTAACAGTAAGTTACCTAACGCTGCTTTCCACAAACGAGCAGAGACTACTCGTAGTGGCCTTAGAGTTATGGGGAAGGGCGTAGCAGTTATAGCACACCGATGACGGCACTCCCATCCGTGTAAGTCACTCGATGCTGATGCCACTAACCGACATGCTTGTCGCAACGCCTGGCTGTGATTGTCAAGTTAGTTGTTTTGTTCATCGTTAATGAATCCACAAATTCGTGTTGACAGCCCCGGACACAGCCCTGTTTACTTTCTTTTTCTGCAAGGTAAGGGATGTTTGTTTACTTTACGACTTCCTTTGTAGCGTTTTAAGTAATCTACTGTGTTAAATAAAAGTAATTTATTAAATTTATTTGGAACTGTCATCGATTAAAATAATACATTATTTTATCAGCCTCAAGATTAGTGATGGGAGTGTTATAATTACATTATTGTTATACATGCATCGATCGTTACTGATGTCCATTAGCTGAGGAGTGGTCGTGCAGTGGTTCAGAATCAGAATATTTATACTGCAGGAATCCGATGAGCTATAAAGATCTTTTCACATGCCCAGGGGGGGCACTGTGTAAGAGCGTTACAACAACAAACAATACAAAAACACTAAAAGGAGTGCACGGATAATGTCATTGGCAAGCGATATCTGAACCGGCTTTCGTTGTCAAAACCTGCTGATAGTGTGGATAAATTATGGTCAAACAACCCCATGATGCAAGTGCGTGGAGGCCTTCATACCGCGGCAGATTAACGAATGCCTGGAAATTGTCATTCTGCTTATTTAACTATGAAAGGTCATTCTTTACTGAAAAGATAAAACAAAAATGGTTTGGTTGATCATTATATATATTCATTACATCACAAAGTCAGCTTTTGGTCAGTGTTTTGGTATATATGTTGTGGGTGAGAAAAAAACATGCTACACGCCTTAAATGTGTAGTGAGTCCAACTGAGTCGCAGATGTTGTTCCTTTTAGAGGCAACACATTTATTTGTAACAACGTAACAAAAAGGGGTAACTGCCCCTTCACCAGATACAGCCTTGGGTGGTGACCACCCAGCTAACTACACTATACAGGGGAGTTACTGCTACGAAGGGTCGGACCCTCGCTCGGGTCTGCGACCACGTGGTCCCCCGTAGGACGGGGCGCTTCCAGCTTGAGATGCAGAATTTCCAGCTTGTAGATGTTGAGCTTCCAGATTGAGACGTGGAACTTCCAGCTTGTAGAATGAAGAGAGACCCCGGTCCCTCTCAGGGACCCGCCTTATATCCCTCTCCGGTCGGGACCGCTCCGCCCCCGACCCCGCCCGCCTTCCCGAACATTCTCTTTCCCTCTCGATCCTTCTCAAGAGCTCTCTCAACACGTGATCACCCCCTAGTCCCCCCGACCTTGGGGCCCCTTGTATGGACATTCCGGATCACGTGTCTACGGGGTCAACCAGAGTGCCATGGCCCAGGGCAACTCTGCCCCTGGGCTGACGCTCACCCCCTCCCCCTCGGGGGAACCCCCACTACACGCTGTGCGTGGTGCCCGCACTATCCCAGTGCTCGCCAAGCCCCGCTAGGGCTGGTGCTACACACAGCCACCCACACGGCACGACCCTTCCTGGCCAGCACCATACAATGACATCCCTGATGTCACTACAAATGGATTAATGTTTAGTGTTTTGGGTTAGGTTGTGATACTACAAGCAGGCAATATTTGACAATTATATACTATGCGATAAAAAAAAAATTACAATTGTAGTTGCAAATTATATTTTTGTAAAGTTTCGCTTGCTTTTTTGATATACCAGTTTGACAGCTTGATTTGTTTGTCATTGTGGTCGAGGCTACATTGCTCTAATTGACATTATACCCAATCAATATAACCAAATAAACGAATTAAGAATCATAACATAGGTCATGAAAGCCTATGTATGAACATGCCTTTAAAATTGTCATTTTATTGAAGTATCCAAGGCCTTTGCTAATGCAAACAGTAACCTCACTCTACCATATTTTTTCTTTTTCCAACCCGTAACCTTCAAGTCTTTATTGCTTGTGGCATACTACCCACTATTTTGGACTCATCAATCTACAGAAAGCAGAAGATGTTCTTGTTTCTCTGCACCATTAAAACCTAACCGGTTCTGATGGCATTTACCAGACATTTCTGGCATTCGAGTTCTCACACAATTTTAGTAAGGCATCTCTCCACCCCAGTTAGAAAAAACAGCTATAAGCCCTGTCACCTGGTTATAAAAAAACATTTTTGTTCAATGTTATTGAAAGGATGTTTCTGTGATGTAATGGTTAGCGCACTGAATTTTCAATCCAAAGGCTGTCAGGTTTGATTTGATCTCCCAGCACGGCAGTATAAATGATGGGCGAGTTTCTTAAATCTCCCTGCCTCTTGTCTACCCAGCGGTACAAATGGGTGCACCACAGTTTGTTCATTGGCAGGTCATATGTGTGTTGGACACTGCCACCTTATCAATGACGTCTGGCCAGCGTGAAAAAGTTGGCCGAATAATCTCTAGATGTGCTCTCTAGAGGCCCTTCTAGTGGAGGCCCTTCTGTCAGTAGCAGCTTTGAGCAAGAGATAGTAGGGCTATGCTGTGGCTTCCGATATTAGGAAGCCACTGGAGCTATGTAATTTTAAATCTGGTTTAAAAACTAATTTCTTTAAAACTACTTTTTGTGTTTAGTTTATTGTCCTTCCCCGCACCTCTAATTGGCACTGGTTGGCTACGTACGGTGCGAAAGAACTTACATACGTACAGATTATTAACATACATTTTTCTGGTTTACTATAACCCTGTCTATGTTTGCAGATTTTTTTTTTATTTTGTGACAATATATGGTAAAAAAAAATTCACCTGAAGATGATTGCTTGTGTTGCGATCAAAACGTCGTGATTTTTATTTATTATTTTTCTACCTACGTGACTTTACCGAAAGACCCAAAGAGTATGAATGCCTGCAGTCACGAAAGCTTTAAGTCTAGATTCATATGGTCAATGTCTCAAACAACTTGACGAATGTTCACATTCATGTCATTTGCAGTTGTCAAGTGGCAACCCCGTGTATGAGAAATACTACAGGCTGGTACGTGATGGTGTGGAATGTGCCCTTGTGTTCCAAGCTTCTATTTGTTTAGCCAAAGCTTTGAAAACTATTTGTGGCCAGAAAGTTTTGTTTAAATGCATATTATGTATTCAATTGATCATCGTCAAATTTAATATTACGCCTATCTTGAAATACATCGAGGACTGATGGAAAAATAATTGTCAGAGGGGCCACGTTGTTTCTATCTGAATACATAGTCTGTTTCAGGAAAAACAACATTAATTGTAGAAATGACGTTTTAATTGGATGATATAAAAGGTATCCAATCTGAAATATACATACATAATTATTAGTTCTTATATTTATGTACAATTTACACAAATTAAATATCTCAAGAATTGTCTACGACATTCAACGGCCGTATAAAAATATTGGCCGGTAGGACGGCATAGTTTATTTTTCCCACCCTGGGTGCACTTCTGAGTCGGTATAATGTTACCTTGAACAACGTGTGAAGTATTGACTACCGCAGTGTTCGTTTAGTCAGTATTCTCTATTTTTAGTCATAGTCTTTGTCAATGAAAATCTGTGGTGTTTTAGTGAAGTCTCAGCCTGCGGGTTTCATTCAGTCATTCTCTTGGTCTCGTCTTCTGAAGCAGAAAAAGTTAAGTCCACCCTAGTGTGAGCAGTGTGCAATTTTTCCTGTCTCCAAATATCAGGTCAGCCAATCGTGTGAGCTCTTAATTTTTGTTCACAATTACCCGTTTGGTCATCATCCGTGGTACATTTCTAAATAATCTTAGTTTGCATCTTCATTTGTACTAATTTGATCTCATCATAGTTGTGTTTTGGTATTTGGTGGGTGGTAATCATCATCATGCTAGATTATTTTCATCGATTCAGTTATCATTGACTAAAACCGACCCCCCCACCACCACCACCACCACTTATTTCAAATATTTCCAAAACTAATTGAGTGAACAAGACTAACTCTGGTCGACGATGTGTTTGTGTGGTGCAGGTGGATCCGGGCAACAATGGCAGAGTTGGGGCCTCGGAAGCGGCATTGTTCCTGAAAAAGTCCGGTCTCTCGGACCTCACGCTTGGCAAGGTTCGAATGTACAAATGCTGGCACGCTGTGAAGACACGCATGTATGACGCCATCTGAACTGAGTGCCAGCCAATTCCACGTGATGTGTCATTGTGCGTATTGCTATGGCGGATGACAGGCATGTACACGTTTTCCTGTCCTCCGCATAATCATGCCATTTCTGGATTGACGCTATTTTGGGTTCTGATTTCATTCGACAAATGATGATGACGTTATCGTCTCATTTGTACTCGCTTGTTTTGTATTGGCTGTCTCACATATTCTGTCTTGTTTTGTTTTCTTAATCTTTTCATTAGTCCGCACGTGACATTTTGCGTATAATGTGCACCAATGGGACATAACACACAGTTCAATGTGTGCATCGTGAGCGTAATAATAATAACTTTTAGGTGGGCAGGTAGCGCAGAGGTTAGAGCACTTGCATCCCTGTCTTGCTTGTCAAACTTCTTATGCCACCGTGTATAGCTAATTGTGCTAATCGGAGGTGCTCTGATATCCTGGGTTTGAATCCAGGCAGCCCCATTGAATCCAGGCAGCCCCATTAAATCATGACAGCCCCATTGAACCCAGACAGCCCCATTGAACCCAGACAGCCCCATTGAACCCAGACAGCCCCATTGAATCCAGGCAGCCCCATCAAATCATGACATCCCCATTGAATCCAGGCAGCCCCATTAAATCCTGGCAGCCCCATTGAATCCAGGCAGCCCCATTAAATCCTGGCAGCCCCATTGACTCCAGGTAGCCCCATTAAATCCTGGCAGCCCCATTGAATCCAGGCAGCCCCATTAAATCCAGGTAGCCCAATCAAATACAGGCAGCCCCATTGAATCTTGGCAGCCCCATTGACTCCAGACAGCCCCATTAAATCCTGGCAGCCCCATCAAATACAGGCAGCCCCATTGAATCCAGACAGCCCCATTAAATCCTGGCAGCCCCATCAAATACAGGCAGCCCCATTGAATCCAGACAGCCCCATTAAATCCTGGCAGCCCCATCAAATACAGGCAGCCCCATTGAATCCTGGCAGCCCCATTGAATCCAGGCAGCCCCATCAAATACAGGCAGCCCCATTGACTCCACGGTAGCCCCATTGACTCCTGGCAGCCCCATTGAATCTAGGCAGCTCTATTAAATCCAGGCAGCCCAATAACTAACGGCTTCACAAAAAGAATTACATTACATTTGGTTTTGCACCTCATTTGGTGGAATTCCAGCTCGGAGAATTAAAATATTGGTTTGTCATGCAACGAAAGTTAATCTCACATGACTGAACAGGTGGGATAGTTCTGCCCATTTGCCGTGTCGGCCAGGTTACTTGAAGGGTTCTCAGACGTAGCTCTGTGGTGTCTGCTTTCGTGGACCGTTCTTAAACACGACGGGTTGTACTGTTCCGCTCGAGATCTGAGTTGATACTTTGGTTATCAGGTCAAGAGACAATGGCACAACTGGGATACAATCTGTGGGATAATGGTCAGACTTTCAGAAGTTTCGCATTGCACGGCCAATACATCTTATAACTAGAGTAACATCGCAAGTCATCCCAATAGTATCGCATCTACTGGTACTAAGGAAACCTTTGAATGAAAGGATAGGAAATATTTTGACGATAAGTATGCTCAAAATAAACGCACCATGTTACGCTTATACCTTACACATAACATGTTACATATTTTTGTATTCTCCCTATGCAATGTCTTCATTATTTTAATACGTTGAAATTCAATATGGATTTTGCATCTATTTCCAAAAACATCACATGGCACTATTACAGATAAAAACGTGTTTCAAACTGTAGCCAACAACAATGCCACGAAATTTGATTCCTAACAGTAATTTTTTTTAAATGTGTTTGGTTTTATTTTTGTTTGCTTGTGTAGATGCAGTCTAAAGTTGTGGCCAGCAGATGGCACACATTCCTTGGTTATAAACATATATTGTAACCATGCTGATGCAAAGACATCAGGAACACTAGGCCGAGGAGACCAATGCAGTGGTTCCTCGGTTTACGATGCCATTGATTGATGATATTTCGATTAACGATTCGCTTCCCATTGGGTCCCATTGTTTCTATTAACGATACATTTTCAATTAACGATATTGTTTTACGATGTCACGCGGCCACCAATTTCGGCCAATCGGAGCGCTCCTAAGTGAACTCGGCAGACCTTAGCCAATCAGCGATGCCCTTTTATGATCATTTTGAGAGCAACTGGCTCAATGATTTTTAATGATTTTCAATGTTTTAAAAGCGAGCTTACCCCTTAAGCCATTCATCTTCTTAGTGTAAGGTAATAATTTTTATTTTATCTTCTGCACATTTGTATGCTCTCTTTATTCATGATGTATCAATGTTTATATTAATATTAATGCTTTAATATGTTCTTATATCGTTTATTTATTACAATTGCATGTTTAAATATTATAAACTATGCTTTTATGGTAAAAAAGGGTCAACTTCTGATCGTCTTAGAACAAATTAAGCCTTGAACATGTATTTCCTACATTCGATTAACGATCATTAGATAAAAAATGGTTTTCGTGGAACCAATTAATATCGTTAACCATGGGACCGCTGTACTTAACACTTCAGTGAATGACCATAGATTGATGTTAGCGATTTAAGCAGGCTACTTTCCTGTGTTTAAATGTCGACGATACGTTTACAGTCTACCCACAATGCAACCTCGTGTTGGGCACTAATGCTGCAGTGGTCGCAATTCAGAATTGCCACCACTCTTAATTTTTTAATCCTGTGAGAGAATTAAAACAAATTGTATAATGCTGCTGTAGAACATGTAAAGTGCTAACTGTGAAAACAATTCCACCAGTATATGCAGTAAATTTATAACATTTTTTTCAGTTGAGCAATTGCATTTTTCTTTACTATTAAACCAAAAGTGTGCCGGCGAAACACATCCTGCATGGATTAGCGGGAAACTGCAAGATTGTCACACATTTACGGAAGAAACGTTGACGTATTCATAAAATGGACGTTAAATTTTTGCTGGATTTGCCACTTGTACAGACAGGGTGGATATGGAGCTCATGTGCAGGTGCTAGATGGATTGTGGGTGGCAGTAGTGTCGCGGTTGGCGTGCTGCGCTATGAACCTGGTGACCGAGTTCGATTCCCGCTGTAGACAAACTCCAGTAACGATGATCTGAACTAGTTCTGCGCCTCCCTTAGGTCGATTCAGCCTCAAATGAGCACCTTTTGCACTTGTAAAATATCGCCACTGGGGAGATAAAGGTGGTCATGCTTGGTGCTGGCCACCCACCCAACCCCTCGTGTACCGTTCTGGCCTTCGTAAGTGCTCGCTAACAGCACTTGCCCCAACAGTCTGTTAAGTCTATACGGGGGATCTTTGTCTTTGTTGCACCGCAGGATTGTGATGGATAGGGATGGCATGCGGAGGCCTTCATCGAGCAGTTATTGATCATGGCAAACGATGATGTTGACTGGCTCTGTATTTTTTGTATTACCAGATATGGGACCTGGCTGATGCAGACAGGAAGGGCTGGCTGGACAAACAGGTGAGTGACTGCACCAATAACGAATCCATTCACCTACACAGTATGATGTCGCGCAACTGATCTTCACTTATCTGTCCAGACCACTTAACCGCCCCACACCGAGTGCACAGGTGTGACCGTCAATGTTTTGTAATGTGTAAACCCTGTTGATGTTTAATGTGACCAGGCCCGCATGTAGCATACGACAAGTGGTTGAATTGAATTGCTAAATTGATAAATGTAGTTCGAGAAAAAAAGTTAAAGCACTCTGCTGCTTCAAATGTGTCGTTTTTTTTACTATTCGCTCCGATCCGAATAGTTCAAAGACGTTGAGGTATTCTGTGGATTAAAAATTTGAGGCGACAGTCTTCTAAACCCCAGCATCAAGTCCCACATTGCTGTGTGTTAAGCCCTGTATTGTCGCGTTTTTGGAGGTGACAGTTAAAGCAAACGTGTTCTCTAGTTTCAATTTAAAGCTTTCGTCTTGGTTCTTTCGGTAAAGTCACGTAGAATGGAAATAATAAAATAACAAAAATAAAACATAAAATATTTTATAATGTTTTATTTTTATTCTTTTATTATTTCCATTCTAATAATAACAATAAAACATAATAAAATATTTTATAATGTTTTATATTTATTCTTTTATTAATTCCATTCTACGTGACTTTACCGAAAGAATCAAGAAGGTGTTCTCTAGTATTTGAGGAGGGTTCACCTCATTGTCTGCTCGAGTATATTGACGGACAACTTGCGTGAATTGGCCCCTGCGCCCCACCTCATGTCGCCTCTCTGATTTCCTTCTATGCCTCTTTCTTTTCCTCTTCTTTCCCATGCCTCTCTCTCTCTCTGGCCATTCTTCTCCGTGCCCAATCCTGTTTTTGGTTCTTCTTCCTCCTTGCTCCCCTCCACTGGAATAAACTTTGCCTGTACATCAGGCAGCACTGCCCATATACTCAACACTGCCCATATACTCCACACTGCACATAGACTCAACACTGCCCATAGACTCAACACTGCCCATAGACTCCACACTACCCGTAGACTCCACACTGCCCATAGACTCCACACTACCCATAGACTCCATACTGCTCATATACACAAAACTGCACCATAGGCTCAACACTGCCCATAGATTCAACACTGCCTCTGTTTATTAACCTTCTTTACCTCCTTCCATTCCTCTCTTAAAACTTTCCATTTCTTTATTTCCAGTTTATGTTTTCTTGTTTTAGAAGATTTATTTTAAACTATGTTAAGCACCCTGAATTTAAAGGTGCTTTATATTATAAATATAAAATAATATAAGAAATGTCAGCAGCAGTTGTGTTATTCTCTCCAACCGCTTGCTGCCACTTAATTTTGCGAGCATTTGAATGTCATTGTGCGATTGTTAATTAAAAAATAATTATGTGGTTGTCTCCAAACTCAACACCACCGTTGATTTTTATTACCCTTCGGTTTGTGTTTTCGGGTCACACCGCGCGTTGTTTGGCATGATGTCCGACGTTTCGCTCCACGTGCTGGGAGCTTCTTCAGGAACTGATGCTCTCAGCACGTAGGAACAAAACGACATCACACCGGACAATGCGAGTTTTCACCAAAAAACACATCCGCAGAGCCATGCAGCACGGCCGTGTAAAGCTACCCAATGGTACCATTGTTTACTATTTACATGGATATTTGCTCGTTAACGTTAAAATGCTTTGAGCATTGCCTGAGTGACCTTAAACAGGATAATTACATGTACATGATTGTCTCATGATTGTCTCTGATTCTATTTGTTTTTCTCCCCTGCGTTTTGCAATGAAATCTGATTGAATATTTGAAAAATTGCGTGAAGGGGTCTTTATGTGGAATTGGCATCATTTAAAGTTTTTAATAATTTAATATTTAAGTTTGTTTTTGCAAAATAGTTAACTTGTTCACAGAAGTATAGGCTAAGAAAACTGGCTCATTAAAAAAAGCATTAACATTTTAATTTAAAACAGTATGGATAAGCTTCAACCCTGACTAAATTATTTTCACTTTTAAAAATAGAAGAACTTTATTTAAATATTCCCATTCGGTAACGTTACTTTAAAGATTTCTATTTTAACTTGAACAAACGCCTTGCTGAGTAATTGCGTCTCGGCTATGAAGGACAAGATACTTAATGTGTTGTGGTTTCACTAATTCTTTTCAACAATTTAGAAAATAGCTCAAAGCTTTTGAGCAGCTTGTATCTTTAACCTGCGAAATACTAAAATGTATTTTAATTCCAATTCTGATCATTTACTTCATAGAGAAATATTGAATGATGTATGTGGTTCAGGAGATACGCCCGGCCTTCATTGCAGCGATTACTTTGTGTGTGTGTTCGTATATAGAATGCTGAAATGAAATACAAAATTAAACGTTAATTTTAGATTTGAAGTCACGTAGGTAAAAATAAATATAAATAATACAAATAAAAAATGTATTTTTATTATTATTTCTATTATTTTTATTATTTGTTTTTATTTTTACCTACGTGACTTTGCCGAAAAAACCTAAGAGTAAAAATTAAACGTGTTCAATGGTTCACAAACTTAACGTTAGCTCGGCAAGTGCATTGGAAAGTACTCTCGTAAAATATTGCAGTGCAGCATTGAACGTTTTCTCTTCCGCGTCAGATGTGAAAGGCAAGTGTTTGGGTTTGCGTAGGAAGTGTATGTACAGCAAGTGACGATTATATGAACCGGTCCTGGGCCTCCCCTAGGTCATCTCAGCCTCAAATGAGTACTTGGTGCGATGTGTAAAACATCGTCACTGGGGAGACAAAGGCGGCCGGGCGTGGTGTCGGCCACCCACCTCCACGTGTGCCGTGCCGGCCTTCAATGGGTGCCACTCGCTAACAGCACTTGTCCCCACAGCCTGTTGAGGCTACACGGGGGGGTTTTTGTTTTTTGGTGTCGACGGAAGCTGGCGGCGTGACGTGCACACGTCACTTTGTTGTGCTTGAGTGTTGTTTTCGCTCTATCTCACCCGCCCGCTTCCCCCCCCCCCGCCCGCCCGTGTGGTCTGCGCCCCCACCGTCGTCTCCTCCAGGGATTCTATGTGGCCTTGAGGCTGGTGGCGTGCGCTCAGAACGGGCACGAGATTGCACTGAGCGCCTTGAGCCACGTCATCCCTCCGCCCGCATTCGTGAGTTCCATGGCAGGGCCGCACACTTCCGTACGATGAACGCTTGGCAAAAATCGTCAGGCGCTGCCACACTGAGAAAAGCGGCGATCGTGTCGGGCACCAAAGGTGGCCCAGATTATGTCGCAGTCAAGAGTCTTCGTTGCTATATTCAGTAGGCGCTAAGGAACTTCAGAGTGTGATGTATTTGTTTAGTTCAATGAACAGTTCTTGAGAGGTATATAAAAAATAACTGAATTGTCAAATGCTCATACCCTTTTTCCTCTCATTTCTCCCAGCCACCGCAGCATAGGGCCCTCATGGTACAGTTGGCTATCCGCTACTTATCTGCTGAGCAGAGCCACAGCTAAATAGTAAAGTACTGGCCTCACGAGACATCTGAATCTGGCTCGTCGAGGGCCAAGCAGGGCAAATGGGAAAGTTCATCAGTTTTCTTATCAACCGGTGCGTTATTTTTCACCTCATGTTGCATCAGTCAGTCCACTCGGACATTTGATGCTTACGTCGAACAGCGGGTACAGCTTGAGTTTTGCAATGGATAAAAAAACAACAACCCTGGCACCTCCTGTGCTGGGCCTGCCTCGGTATGACTTCGGCACGGCTCGGTTGTGCAGTGGGGGAAGAGGCATTATTATTCCTAGACAACAGTTACTTTAATACGGAGTAGGCTTTCGTGACCAATATTATCCATCATATAGAGGTGTTTTTTTGGGTTAGATCGCTTAAATATAAATGTGTTCATAAACCCGCCGCCACCCGACACAGCCAATTGTGGTAAGGTTTGTCACGTAAACAAAATATGCTAAACATCGTCCTCGAATTGTAAATGTTGGGGATTCACTCTCCAACACACCAGTGTGCTGAACAGTTACTTGTTTCAGGCACCGTAGTCATTATAGATTATTTCACAGACGGTTAGTGTTAAGGAAACAAAGAGTGTAATGCGTTTTTATTAATTTAACGTACTGCAACACTGGACCGCCTGTAACTATATCGGCAGAAGTGTGCCCAATCTAATAACATCTCGGAAGTCAAGTAGGTGGATTGAGCCTGTGGACAGTGCTTGGATGGGTTTACCACCATGCAACACACAGGTGTGTTCCAGGCTGCTGCAGGGTTAACATTATGGGCAAATCGATGGCAGTGCAGCAAAATCTGTTGTAGTGCCATGCCGCACTCCACGTTTGTGCTCCCTGCCTTCACCAGGCCGCAGTGACCAGCGCGGCGAAGCTTGGCCAAACAATCTCATAACCTGCACACCGTCGGGAGGGCCATCACCCAGCAGCGGATTGACAAAAGAGGGCCGTGCATGTACAACACTTGACCGTATCTCGACAGCATAAAGCCCTATCTGGGCCAACGTAAGCCAGTGCCTGTGACTCTTTGTAATCCTGCCCTCTCTGTATTCACAGCAAGATACAGGCAGTCCCCAGCTTGGTTCGTCTGCACAGAACCCAGAGGCCTTTTGGGTTGTTAAGGTGAGGGAGCTTACCTCCGCCTGTGTGTTGGCACTTTGTCTGCAGGGAGTATTGTAGATATCAAGAGACCATAAATGATGAAGGCAAAAACAAATAAACGCAGGTACAGCAATTAAGTAAGTGTAAATGAGAACGCAAATAAAATATATATGTATGTTGAACTTCTTTCGCACCGTACGTATGCTAATCGGAGGTGCGGTGGAAGGACAACAAACTAAACATAAAAAGCAGTTCTAAAGGAATGAGTTTTCAATCTAGATTTAAAAGTACATAGCTCCAATGGCTTCCTAATATCGGAAGGAAGAGCGTTCCAGATGGCCACAGAAGCGCATCTGCAAGCGTTCGATGCAGTGACCGTCTTTGTTTGATGGTAAGCGAAAAGCTGCTGTGAGAATGACCGGAGTTTGCTTGATGGTTTCAGCTCCTTGACGAGATCAGCAAGGTATTATGATGAGCACGGTTGGCTACGTACCGTGCCAAAGAACTTCAACGTACAAGTGTAACTGGAGTGCTCTTGCCACTTGGGATTGGATGATGTTGCACAGACAGCAGCTTTTTACACATTTTACACGCACAAATGAGTGTCGATCCCGCTATTAATATGCAGAGAGTGAGGCCGAGCTGATGCGAGGGTCCCCGTGTAGCTTGCCTTGCACCTAAGGGGGATTTCTTACTGGAACAGGTTATCTGGGACTGAACCCGAGCTAAAGCCAGAATCGAGGCAGCATCTCCAAGGGGTTGTATAGATTAGAATGTCAAGTCGAGTGTCATTATATAATGCGTGATAGTTTTTGTTTGTGTCTTGTGTGTATGTAGAGAGAGGTAATTTCCACGGCAATTTGAGCTGTAAATGGCGATTCTCCTTGCACGTGCGGCTGCTGTTATTCTCCGAGTGAACTCGATGGTAATTAAACCATTGCCGTGGCAGGAATTGGAATCGGACTTGGAGTCGCACACCGCTTTAAAAAAAAAAATATATTGTTGCTAAGGAAGCTTATTATCTGAATGGGTTATTACGTGGTCACATAAAATTCAGCCAAGAGAGGAGGCTTGCTTCATTGTGGATTCGCGGTGCAGCGGTTCAACGCACAGTGGCGTCTGATAAGGGCCCACAGAATGTGGCTCCATTCAGCAGAGTTTCTTTTGCTCTTATCTCGCCCTCGCGTAGAGTCGAGACAACGGTTGTGTGTGTTTTCCCCAGTTCGGTATGTCGGCAGTCAGAATTTCAATTTAGTACCCGTATTGTCAACAGTTCAGGCCGTGTTACTGTGCATTCAAGGCTGGCGGAGGTCAATGTTTGCATGAGAATCTTTATTCTTGCGTTTGCTTTATTAATTATGGTCACAGTTCTGTTTGTGCAAGTTAATATCTCCTTTATTTTGAGAACTACCAATTTGCATAGCACTTGTATCAAACTTTTAAATGCGTCTATGTTTTACCATTACAAATAGTTACCACTAGTATTTACCGACTCCCACGCTGCCCTTGTTGTTGTTGTTGTGAAGCAAAAATCTGAACATTTTTTCAGTTGTTTTGTTTTCATTACTCTGTCATCATTGTTTCTTAATTATGTTTAATTAGAATTTCACTTTTTGTCCTAATCGGAGCACTCTCTTAAATTTCACAAGTGTTGACAAAACACAAGAGCAAATACATTTGGAATAATCCACCAGCTTTTTTTATTTATTAACAGGAGCTGCAAAGGACAGCGGTTCATAGTTGTGCCTGCCAAGCCATTGCAAATGAATAGCTCATTGTGCCTTGTGCACAGGAGCTGTTGTGCAGCATTGGGACGCAATTATTTACTGCTGCAGTTTTTGAAAGGATTTGAGACCCAGAGGTCACCGGTTCGATCTCCCGGCACGGCAGTTGAAACGACAGTGCAAGTTTACTAAACACACCCTCTGTCCACCTCAGCAGTTTTATTCGGTACCCCACAGTTCAGCTTTAGTTTTATTTGTATTTGTTTGTATTGGTTTATGTTTGTATTTATATTTGTTTGTATTTATATTTGTTTGTGTTTGTATTTGTTTGTGTTTGTATTTATATTTGTTTGTATTTGTTTGTGTTTGGATGATTTGCACTGCTGTCATGTTTTTGTACTTTTTGTTGTTGTAACGTTTTTATCTGCCCCGACTGGACATCTGTGACTAAAGAGGTCAATAGCTCGAAGGGTTCCTACAGTGTAAATATTATAGATTCTGATTAAGTCGATCGGGCAGGTCGTGTGCGGTGGGTGAAAGCGTGAGTAATACCACCTCTCTCAAGGTGTGTCCGAGGGGTTCTCAGCGGGATCGGAGACCCTTCATCCGGCAGTGGCGAGCAATATGCAGGGCTTCGACCGCATCTTTCGCTATCTCGTGCACAGCTGACCGTCCAGTGATCGCCGTGCCGCGTTGGCTTCCCGTTGCTGAACGAACACATTATTATTGGGTCGCACTTATTACACACACAGTGCTTGCCACAAATGAACCACAATACCTTGCTCATCTCATCATGGAGCATAAACCATCACGCGGGCTCTGGTCATCACAACAACGGCTTTTGCCTAAGCCGTCGAACAAAGACGGTCACTGCATTGCGTGCTTTTGGATGCGCGTCTGCGTCTATCTGGAACACTTTTCCTGCCAATATTAGGAAGCCGCTGGAGCTATGCACTTTTAAATCAAGATTGAAAACTCATTACTTTAAAACTGATTTTTGCATTTAGTTGTCCCTCTCCTGCACCTCCGATTAGCACGGTTGGCTACATACGGTGCAAAAGAAGTTCAACATACATACACAGTCAACTGGTGGTTGGTTTGGGTGCCACGGTGCCTAGGAGTTGTTAACTACCTCGCCTAGTATGCAGGAGGTCGTGGGTTCGATCCCGACCCTGACGCCTGCTGTGTATTTGGAGTTTGCGTGTCTCTCTCTCATCATCATCACGGTGGCTATGAGATGTTAACTACCTCACCTGGTATGCAGGAGGTCGTGGGTTCGATCCCAATCCTGACGCCTATTGTATATTTGGAGTTTGCATGTCTCTCTCCTCGTGGTTGTTTGGATTTTTCTCCGAGTCCTCCGGCTTTTTCCTCCACATTTAGAATCAACATGCATTTAGATTATTTGGCTGAATATACATTTCCACATGATGATGATGATGATAAGCCACTCCGTTGAGCTATCGTTTGTGATTGCCAGGTCGCTTCTGAAAAAGAGCCACATAGCTTAGTGGGCCTTACCTGGTAAAAACAACAATGGTTGCGCCCCCACCGTCGACCAACGCATGCACAGTCCAGCGTGTGGCCCCGCTGCTTTCGGCTCACTCGTACATTAGCATTCCAGTCTCTGCGAACCGTTGAGATCTGTGTGCGTGTGTGCGTGCATGCGCCGCCCACAGCCTGATGAGAAGACCAAGTTCGATGGCATCTTTGATAGCCTGGGGCCGGCAAACGGCCTGCTGTCTGGCGAGAAAGTCAAGCCCGTGCTCATCAACTCGAATCTTCCCATGGAGGTGCTGGGCAAGGCAAGTTGCGGTGCTGCCATCACTTTCTCCTCCTCTGCTGCTGCTGCTGTTGTTGTTGTTCATGGGCAGAGTTAAAGGTCTCCCCCGTGACGGTCGATGCGGGGTTAGTTTAAACTATAATGGGTACGTAAAAAAAACCTCAAACTATGACGGGTAGCCAAGTTGGGTTTTAGATAATGATGTTGAAATTGAAGGCATACTCAACCAAATTATATCACATGTCATTGTTATCATCATCAGATATGCTCAATCCACTGCTGGATGAAGGCAGACCTGAGGTCAATCATTTTTTTGTCCTTGCCCTGCACCTCCGGTTAACACAGTTGGCTACGTATGGTGCGAAGGAAGTTCAACATGCAGACTATCATCAACACATTGTTCGGTCATGTTCCAATTACATTTTGATAGCATTTCATTATGAGTTACACCATTACACTTGTAATTGACCCCAGGTGTGGCTTGAAGGCCTCCGTAAGCCATCACCGTATCTAAGTGTCGTCACTTCTAATTAGAAATGGAGATATTTATAATTTTGTCAATTAAAATGAATTGTCACGCCTATGATATGCATCAAATTTATGCGTGGAAGGAGCAGTCCTCGCCACTTCCCGTGTGTCGTAATATTCACAACACTACGCATGGGACAATGCACGGCAAGGCCAGAGAGAGAAATGGCTTGAGTCAAATCACGATGCGGAACTGCGACAACTCGTAGACTCGAGGGGGGTTGAATTGTCGTAGGCCTTCCGTGAATATTTGACGATCGTTATTTGCAAGTTGGAAATGGAGCGGAGGGCACAGTGGTTAGTGCCAACGCATTTTTACAATAAAAAAAAAATTATGTTTCAGTAGGAGCCCGGTACACAGCACAAACTGCGCTGTAAGGAAGCGTTGGGGGGGGGGGGGAGGCGGGGGGAGGAGGGGAGAGTACAAAAACTTGGTGCAAAGATGTCCCGAACACTGTGGTCCTGAGTTTAGAGGAGGTGGGGGGGAGAGATTGAGCCCACTGATTCCCCACCGAGTGGGGACTGCGAGCGGGGTGTGTGAACTTTTATGTGGCAAGGGGAAGGAGAGGTAAGAAAACATTAAAGTACGGGAGTAGAGAGAAAGGGGGTGTGAGAGGGGAAGGTGTGGGGAAGGGGGCCGCAATGCATTTTTAATTTGGGTTCGGTGCCTGGCCACGGCTAACGTCAATTGTGAGCGGTAATTGAACTTGTCTTGGGGATTTCCTTGGCCAATCCGCGCTGACCGGCATGGCTAATACGCGTGGTCAAACAGTCCCCACGATCAGCACGGCATGGTGATGTGGGGGGGGGGGAGGTCTTCATCGAGCAGTGAATTCACAGAAGGGCTCCAAATCGATCGTCGTCATTTATGGGTCGGTGGGTAAAGACGAGAGGTTTCAAAATGAACATTTTCAGTTGCCCATCAGATCGGCAGCTTCCAAAAGGCTTTGTCGACATTAATAATCAGAGCATGCCTGCCCTTGGTTACATAAAACCGTGTTCTTCATCCTTTATTCATATTGCTGCATCATAATTGAGGTGTTGGTGTGAGTCTGAGACGTATTGATAGAGGCAAATATTGAGCATTTCAGCCACATGCTTAATTTATATATGAAAAAATCTTTCTGGTTTTGAATGCACTGTGATGTTGAGATGAAATCCATTTGTCGTTTTGCTTCATTCTTGATGGATCTGAGAAGCATCAATAACATGCTATTTCACTTTTAAGTGGAATACCCACCCAGATTCTGCACTGTTCATCGTGCTCAGCTTACGAAAAAGGGGAAAAAAAAAGCAGCATCACACCCTGCTGATAACTCACGTTGGAGGCCAGCGCTGCATTCGCCCACCTTTTGCCGTGTAGGGACAGTTGCCACTGTGGATTCCCTTGGTTATACTGCCACGTGGCAATAGAATGGCTGAGATGTGACGTTGAGGTGCTTTGAAATGCTGCGGAAATTAAGCGACTCGTTGTTTCAGGTGGTGGTTGACTTAGCTCTTCATTCTTTGAACAGTTGAGTTCCGCTTTGTTATAAGTCAACAGTGGCTAGATTGATTATTCCCCTCCATAGAAAAGTGGTGTTTGCTCTTCCGGTAAACAAGTCGTTGAGTGCAATCCCACATGTATTGAAGTGGAAAACCACTTGAACACATTTTTTAGTGTAATGATGAATCTTAAATTGGGGGTGAAGCCATGGCACAGTGGCTATCGCACACTGCACTATAAATGTGGTGAGATTCATTTGATTCCTGGCTCCTGCTCACATTGGTTAGCCAGGAATCAAACTCAGGTTTTGCTACGTTCGTAGTTGAATGACAACTCAACCGGTTCTTGCCCAATCCCCGAACTTCACAAATTCGTACTGACCAGCATGGTGAAACATAGTCGAAAAACCCTCTTGGCTGACACGGCATGGGCGAGGCCTTCCTCCGGCAGCGGATGAAATAAGCGTTCCAAAAGATATGGTTCCAATACTTCAATGTTTTATTCATATTTTTGTTTTGTTTTCTTGCATGTGTCAGCTTTGTTCATTGGCGTGTTGATTTGATGATAACTCTTGATTCGAGAGATTATTTACACATTCTGGAAAGCAGTATCGGGCACTTATGAACAGTTTTAATACGAGAGCTGGCTTAGATGAAAGTCCCCGTCGCATGTTTAATCTTACCAAAGTTGTAAGTATATGTGTTGTCGGTAATTAAAATGTGTAATGTTCGTAGCCATCTGGAATCGTTTACAATTGTCAAAGCAGTATTCCTCATGTTAATTCTGCACGGACAGAGTATTTTGAAGTTTGGTTGTCAATGGTGCTCATGCCTTTGCATTCTTCTCACATTCATACAGTTTCTTTATTCGGGCGAAAGAAACTATTTAATTGTCGCCTCTTTACATTGTAGCATGACAACTAATAAAGGGAAGTGTGTGGTGGTGGGATAGAAGGATTGAGAATGGAGAAGAAAATAAAAGAGTATCTGGGGTAGAGCACATAACGGCGTTTACATTTTAATATTATAGCGGTTGTCAGCTGTTTTAGACAGGGATATTGTTTGTTGCGCTGAAGTTGTGCTTGAGCGTGAATAAATAATAAAGTATTTCGATGCAATGTTGGTGTGAGGATGAATAATACAAAAGCGGAAAATAATCACATCCAAGTGAGAAAAATTCACTTTTTTGGCGTTGTACGGGCGAGCCTTTGAAAGTGTCCTCCTGTGGCATATGGGAGAGACTTGTAGATGTATCTTACGTCTTTAGCAGATATCTACATTGTTCTTAAGATTCATCTATACACGGTTGTGTTGTATATCTTATAAAACAATTAAAAGACAATGCCTTGGTGTGTGTAGATGCCTTTATATAACATTGGTAGATTAAAAACGGATGGAATTTACTTTTGTTTTATGATATTCATGCTCTACTCTTTGGTTTTTTCGGTAAAGTCGTGTAGGTAAAAAAATTAATTTAAATAAATTAAATCGCGACGTTTCGGGCGCAGCACAAGCGTCCTTCTTTAGGTGGGGACAACTTAGCGAAAGCACAACACTTAAGCGGTGTGCTGAAGAAGGACACTTGTGTTGCGCCCGAAACGTCGTGATTTAATTTATTTTAATTAAAATTTTTACCTACGTGACTTTACCGAAAAAACCAAAGAGTATGACTCCTTGCAGTCACGAAAACTTCAAATCTAGAATTCCATGCTCTCCTTGCTGTGAATTCCATTGTGCTCATATGTACGTTTTTATGCATGTCTGAATGTTTCGTTTTGTCATTCAGGTTTGGGACCTGAGTGATATAGACAAGGATGGCCACCTGGACCGCGATGAGTTTGCAGTGGTGAGTGTTTTAACCTGTCCTGCTGGGAAGTGTGATATGATGGCATTGAAAGGAGAAAAAACTATCTATATGGATGGCGAGAAAGAGACATGGATACACTCTAGAGCAGGTTCAGGAGGAGAGAATTCGAATTAAAAACCAACCCTGATAAGGAAAAATATGTGGATTGGGCTTATTCTCAAGAGGTGAATGCTTAATATGAAGGGAGCTTGTGAATGATGCTGGGTAAGAGACCAAGAGGCAGATGACGGAAGGATGGTGGGTGGCCGTCCAGTGAAATAAAGACTACAGGACAATATTGGACAGGGTGGATGGAGGTTTCAGCCAAAAGAACTGCCATTGGACACACTGCGTAAAGTAGAAGAGAGGAGATGAGGTGACGATAGATGTGCGTTGGCTGCAACATCTCCCATGTTTTAGACATCATGGACAAAGTGCAAATTAAAGTCACTGTACTGTGTTGACAGTGGCATACAAACACAATCCAAAAGAACTCACCACCTTCGTAATTACCACTGGCTTATAATGGGAAAGATGTGTAAGGGAAGGATATTGTTTTGGGTGATGGCCTTTCTTCAGACCAGATCAAATAAATAATATGTTTTCTCTTGTAAGGCAGTGTTAATGGTGATGGGCGAGATGTTGAACTTTTTTAATTGGCACGAGCAACGAGTCGTGCTTTCATCGGCCTATGTGTCATTGTTTAATATTTTTCGAGTTGGTGAAAATCAAATCGCCTAAAGTTGTATCGATAATTATAATTTGTATTCACTGACGATCTTTGTCTTGATGGCACAAATGTAAACGGGAGTTCTATCTAAAAATATGACAACCATTTTCATAAGGAAAAATAACCGATATTTGACAAAGGTTAAACCATTTTCTAAATGTTCTAACCCACTTCACTTAAAAAAAATACTACTCCAAACTCTCATCTTAAACGAATAATTATGTACATGTACAGCCCTTTGTCAATCCACAGCTGGATTAAGACTCCCCCACGGTGCATGTAGTGGGATTTATTTGACCGTACTTGACCATGCTGGTCAGTCCGGGTCGGTGACGAGGCGTATTGATGTGGGAGCTTATAAATACGGGGCAATCTTTTTTGCTGCATGTTCCTCTGCTGCATATCCCTGTGGCTTGACAGCAAACTGTTGCGGATGGTCGCCACCCATCCAAGCTCTGTCCAGATTGTCCTGCTTTAGCTTCTGAGCTCTGAAGAAATCTGGTGCATTCTGGGTGATCTGACTGGTTTTATTGCACTTGCTCACATTGAGAGCAGTGTACATACGTACAATATGTATGTTGAACTTCTTTCGCACTGGACTGTACGTAGCCAACCTCGCTAATTGGAGGTGCGGGGGGGGGGAAGAACAACAAACTAAACACGAAAAGCAGTTCTTGTCGTTGACAAAAGCGTCCTTGAAAAACGACAGTCCCACCGTTTCTATTCCGTTGTGACCGTGCGTCGTGTGCCGTCTGCGTCCGTTGAGGCCATGCATCTGGTGTATCGAGCCTTGGACAAGGAGCCGGTGCCATCCGTGATCCCGCCCAAGCTGGTGCCGCCCGCCAAGCGCCCCTCCGCTGCCGCAGGCGGCGGCGGCAAGCACCCCGGGATGCTGCCCGGCGCCGTGCCCGTGCTGCCGTCGTCGCCGCCGCCCCCCCGTGACAGCCTGCGCTCCACGCCGTCGCACGGCAGCGTGAGCAGCCTGGCAAGTGGCGGGAGCCTCTCCCCCAAGCTGCAGCCGCGCTTGGTGAGCATGGACGGTATCCTCCGCCCTTGTGGGCGTCTCTTGTGGTTGCTGGCTACGACGGATCAACTAAAACTGTAAACTGGTTTTTTTTACCAGGTAAGGCCTCACTTAGCTGTATAGCTAATTTTTTCAGACGCGACCTGGCTATCACAAATGATAGTTCAACGAAGTGACTTATCACATGGTAATGTCTAGCAGCCAAATACTTTAAACGTGGGTTAATAAATGTGGAGGGAAAAACCGGAGGACCCGGAGAAAAATCCACGCTACTATGCGTGGATTTTTATAGCAGCCGAGGTATTTAACATCTCGCCACCAGATATCGTCACAGTGACGTCGCGGTTAGCGCGCTGGGCTTGCAATCCGGAGGTCTCAGGCACGATTTCATCTGCTGCCGGGGCGGTTGAAAGGATGGTGCAAGTTTTGACGTACATATGAATGAATGTTGAACTTCTTTCGGACTGTACGTAGCCAACCGTGATAATTGGAGATGCGGGAAGGACGCCTCCGGTCCACCCGGCAGTACACGTGGGTGTACCACAGCCGATCAGCAGGTCGTGTGTGGTGGGGTTGTGTGGTGGGCGTTCCCACCTTTCCCCAGACGTAGGCTACCCTCTAGAGTTACATTCGAGAGCTCCCCCTCGTGACATGGCTAACGCTTTATCCCATTGGTTGCGATAACCACAAAGTCCCGAAACCAATCGTTAAGAAACTTACAGTTCACCAATACGTGTGCCCACATCTGCATCGTTTGTGGCTGAGATTGACAACAAAATACTTCCAAGCGAGTGTTTTTTTTTACTTAAAATTGTCAAAGTTACATGGTACAACACAGTTAATGTGCCAGTTCATTGTGCTTGTGTAGTGACATCGAGGATGCCACTGTATGGTGCCGGTCCGGGAGGGCCGTGGCGTGCGATGTACTTACGTCGCGGACAGCACCGGGTGTGTTGCTGAGTGAGGCCGGCTTTAGCGTAGCACCGTCATCGCGTACACCCCGTAGATCGGTGCAGTACCAGCCCTAGCGGGGCTTTGTGAGCGCTGGGAAAGCGCGGGCACCACGCATGGCGTGCAGTGCGGGCTTCCGTAAGGGGGAGTGGGAGAGTGTCAGCCCAGGGACAGGGTTGCCCAGGGCCGAGGCACTCTGGTTAACCCCGTAGACACGTGATCCAGAGTGTCCACAGAGAGGGCCCCAGGTGGGGGGGGGCTAGGGGGTGATCACGTGTCCGGAGAGAGCTCTCGAGAGGGATCGAGAGGGAGCTAGAACGCTCGAGAAGGCGGGTGGGGCCGAGGGCGGAGCAGCCCCGACCCGGGAGGATATAAGGTGGGTCCCTGAGAGGGACCGGGGTCGCTTCGTTCTGTAAGCTGGAAGCTCCACGTCCTACGTCTGAAGAGGCACCAACACGTGGCCGGGGACCCGAGCGAGGGTCCGACCCATCGTAGCCGTAACTCCTCTGTATAGTGTAGTTAGCTGGGTGGTCACCACCCTCGGCTGTATCTGCTAAAGGGGCAGTTACCCCTTTGTATATACGTGTTGCAAATGAATGTGATGCCTCTGAAGAGTAACGTCTGCGACTCATTTGGACTCACTATACTTGTGTTACAAACGCTGCTTTTTTGGCATTAGCTGCTGCTTATTGGTGTTGTTCTTCTTGCTACCGATGGGGTGGTAATCTTCTCGTTGATTCGCTGCTCGCTGCTCTTGTTTCTCTGTTGTTTCTTGCAGCTGCAGCAGACGCACACCACCTGGGTCGTGACGCCGGCAGACAAGATAAAATATGACGAAATTTTCTTGAAAACCGATCTGGACATGGACGGCTTTGTGTCTGGCCTGGAAGTGAAGGACATTTTCATGCAGTCGGGCCTTCCGCAGGCTGTCCTTGCTCAAATCTGGTCAGTGCCTCTCGTTTAGCGGAATACCTTGTGTGTTCGTGCAGGTTTACACACGTGGCTTTGTGTGCACAATTGGAGTCTGAACGAAGCAGTATGAAAATAAGTTGCCGTTTGATCACAGGCTGGTTGGCATTCTGAGACGAATGCTCGGAATATTGTGACAATTTCATGGCAAGGCAGGATAAGAAATGCTGGGAAAAGAGAACATAGCTGGTCAGTGTAGTAGATATGGTGAGCGACAACAATTACGCCAAGTGGGACTTTAGGTAGGAGGCTGAAAGATTACTGGTACAGCCGTGGGAAAGGCCTTCACGCGTACGACAAACAGCGAGCAGACCTAAGGCCCTATGTCGGGATACTTTTGAGGGCAGATCTTGGAGGTCACGTGTCTGCTGGGCAGTAGCTGCGGGACCTGGAGAATTGGCGAGGTGTTGTTGGAATCAACGGCTTTGTCCATGATGGCATCTTGAGTTTGTGTGCACAATAACAAAGACAAAAGATCCTTCGTATAGCCTTATCAGACTGTTGGGGAAAGTGCTTTTAGCGAGCACTTTTGAAGGTCGGTACAGGGGGGTGGGTGGCCAGCACAACGCTCTGCTGCCTTTGTCTCCCTCGTGGTGATGTTTGCACACCCACCGTACCAGGTACTCATTTGAGGCTGAGTCGACCTAGGAGAGGCCCAGGACCAGTCAAAGATTATCGTCACTGGTGTTGACCGTGAGTGGGAATTGAACTCCGGTCGCCGGGTTCATAGCCCAGCGCACAAACCGCTGCACAATGGACACCTACTGTGAGCAGGTGCTGCTATCACATTACAACCGGGCAGTACAGCAGTTTATTTGTGTGTGCTATGAGAATTAATGGAGCCACTCTAATCTGTTATTGATATTGTCATTGTTAACCCATTTCATGTGTTTGCTCGTCAAAATGATTTCATTCGGCAAGACAGTAGGGTTTTTAGACTGAAATATGGTCCAATGCATTCTTATCACAATAGTTTAATATCTAGAATATTCACAGTGAAATTATATACGATGTTTTCTGACAAGTGGATTGAATGAATAAAGGCATAAAACATCGAGGAAGTATTGGTCATTTCAAATTTGCTGACAACAGTCTTTGTCATGAATAATAGAAATGAGCTGAAGGTAAATATGAGTAAAACAACATTCCCGGCAACGTTAAATAATTGTGTTTGTAGGGGCACAACTGGAAAAACAGGCAGAATGTTTACTTACGGTAATTATTACCGGTAGATCGGAATTAATAAATAAAGAGATGGGGGGGGGGGGGGGGGGGAAACAGAAGCAGATTGTGGACTGCTTTTGTAAAAGATATATATTTGAAAATTAAAATCAACCGGAATGTGCTTGAAGAAGGAAGGAAGGAAGGACGATGTTTTCAGTCGGTGCACATTACCCGCTACGACGTACGGATCACAAATCCGAATGAAGGACGGTGACAAAGACTATGATGAGAAAGCGTGCGACTTTACAGAAGATGCACGGAGAGCTACGTGCATCGAATTGCACTCAAAGGCAGATGAGAGGGAATACTTGGATCAGGGAACAAACGTTGTACGAGACATGAACTTAACCGCTGCATTTAGAAAGTGGGTTTTTTCAAGACGCATAGCTCGAAGTCGATGGGCGGTGAGAGATTGGCAGCCAAAGACGAGGAGATCCCACCAGAGAGTTTGCCCGCTGTGGACATGGAGCAGCGATATGGGCACATTTCCAGGAGAGAAACGGATTGTCGTGTCACAGGGCTATGAGGAATGGTGACGGCATGGGGAGGCTTTCACCCATCAGTAGATAGACCATGGCTGTTGGCGATGATAATGGTTTAACACGTAGGCTTTCGCGACCAATATTCATAATATAGGTTTTTGGGTCAGATCGCGTTATTTGGAAATGTGTCGTAACCCTCCACCACCCTACACGGCCAAACAGTAAAAAATGTGTCACGTTTTTCAAAGGACAAAGAAGTGAAATATTTTGTCCTTTGAAAAACGTGACACATTTTTTTACTGTTTGGCCGTGTCGGGTGGTGGAGGGTTACGACACATTTATAAATAATACGATCTGACCCAAAACACCTTTATTATTGATGATAATGGTTATGAAAAAAAATTATCATCGTGATTCATGTTTTGCAGACACAGGAGCCAGATGGATAAGGTGAACTTGGCTTGTGGGACAGTCGAGTTTCGGAATGAATAATAATTCTCCCATTAGTGTGATTACCTTTTTTTTTGGTGATCTCAATCTGTCCTTCATTTACTCTATCTGGCCAGGTGGCAATGTTGTGTTAGCACTCGACTCACAATTGGATAGTGGCGAGTTCAAATCTCGGTTGGTTTACCCATCATTCCTCTGGGGTTAGTATAGGAGTAATCACTTCGTGTGAAGGCAAGAGTGGTCACAGTTGGGATAGACTGGCTCCTACCATGGAAAATGTGGGAATTTCCACAATATAGTCACGGCTGCCATCAGAGATGCACCTTGTCACATTGGCGAGGGGGGTAACACGTGTTTTTTTTTCTGGATAAACGTGGGTGTGCATTTGATGTATGGATGTCCATTCAGGTATCATCCCCTACTAAAGCATTTGAGTTGCACAGCTCTTTGAACTGGGTTGATAAAACTTCTGAGAAGAAAGGAAAATATTCCCCATTTAGCCTTTTACAGATTGTTGGGGCAAACACTGTTTGTGGGCACTTATTAGAGGGGCGGGTGGGTGGCCAGCACCACGCCTGGTCGCCATTATTTTTGCTTCAGTGCTCATATTAAGCACTGCACCAGGTACTTATTTAAGGTGGAGATGACTTCAGGGGGAAGCCCAGGACCAGTTCAAATATTCGTCGCCGATGTCTGCTGTGAGCGGGAATCGAACTCGAGTCGCAGCGTTTATAGTGAAGTCCGCCAACCGCTAGCCTACCACTCCCCATAACAAAACTACAAAGACAAACGCTCGGTGGCATGAGGATTTTATTGTATAAGAATCGTCCCTTTAAAGTTACTTTGACGTTTCGCTGTCGGCATTCGCAACGGGGGCAGTGTGTCGATTTGAGAGTCACAGGCGTTTGGCAGCATCTCAGAGGTGCGATTATATCGAATGCTTCGGTTATGTGCTGTTCAAAGATCACTCCTGCTGTTCAGTTTAAAAAGGATAAATGCATCGGTGATACGTTTGCTAACTAAACGTTGGACACCATGACATTTTGTTTGCACGGCCAGTCACCGCCGTGCCTGTCAGAGATGCGTGTGCCACTGGCCGACAACAAATGCCGGTGATATCTTCCGTCCACTCATCACAGAGACGTAGTCAAGCCAACCAAGACAGACTCCTCATGTGGGCCACGTACTTTCAAAGGACAAATACGCCCCTCTCAAAATTAAAGCATTAACCTGAGAACCCACGTGCTACCTCACGGCCACGCAGCGCGCAAGAGATGTTCTTAAACATCATCGCGTCTTTTTAAAAATGTCTAATTGTTATCGTCGTTATTATACCGAACAACACGCAGCACAACCCGAAAATATCGGAGAGCAAAAGCTGTAATTTTTTGTGTAACTAATCGTGTGTTCATATTCGTTGTTCTTTCGGTAAAGTCAAGTAGAAGGGAAAAAAAAAATTATTATCACGACGCTTCGACTGCAACACAAGCAATCATCATCAGGTGTGAAAAACACTGCAAGAAAATTAGAAAAAAGTGGTGCTAACGTTAAGAAAAAACCGCCACTTTTTTCAAATTTTCTTACTGTGTTTTTCACACCTGATGATGATTGCTTGTGTTGCAGTCAAAACGTCGTGAGAATTTTATTTTTTATATTTTTATTATTTTATTGTTTCCCTTTTACGTGACTTTACTGAAAGAACCAAGAATATGAATCCCTGCAGTCACGAAAGCTTTAAATCAAAATTTAATTGTGCGTTATCTACGGGACCCATATTTTTATAATTGCATGTATGTATGTACGTTGAACTTCTTTCGCACCTTACGCAGCCAACCGTGCTAATTGCTTGTTGCGCCTGCAGGGCCCTTGCAGACACGAGGCAGCAGGGCAAGCTGACGCAGGACCAGTTCGCGCTGGCCATGTACCTGATCACGCAGAAAGTGAGCAAGGGCGTGGACCCTCCGGTGACGCTGAGCGCCGACATGATGCCCCCTTCAGAGCGCGGGGCCTCCACCACGGTACGACATAACCCCCCCTCTCCACCACCATCACTTCCTTACTTTATATTTAAAAGTGAACAAATATCAACAAACGCAAGCAGAGGGAAAGCACGTGACGCAGCTTTGCGAACAACCAGCATCAACAAGCGGAACAATAGAGACCCCCCCCCCACCTAGGCACGATGTAGGAAATAATAGGAAAGCAAGAGAAAGGGGAAGCAAACAGAAGAGGAAGGAAATAGTGGCAGCCGGAAAGTACAAAGTGCGGGTAAGGGACTCTTTTATTTATTCACTGAGTCTCAAGAGCCTTGTCAGTAGGGGTCCCATCTTCATGCAGTAGAGGATGATGTTGCTTAGTGCGTCATCTCAGTTGAGTAATTAGCGCATTTTCGTAATTGGGATGTATGGACAATAGCAGTTGAATATTACACGGTTAAACAAATACAACTTGATGAAGTTGTCTACGAATTGAACTTGTGGGAGGAAGCCGGAGGACCTGAAAGAAACCCACGCGGATCAGAGAATGTATGCAAAACGTCACGCACTAAAGCGCCCAAGTTGGGAGTTGAACCCGGGCCCTTCTCGCTATGAAGCACGAGTGTTAACCACTGCGCCACGATGCCGCCGAAATCAAGACCAATCAACAAAAGGGGACAAAGTCTTCCTCTAGAACCTTTCGTGATCTCTGTGACAGAGCCCCCTCGATGTTCAAGGACGGATAGCTCATGTGTTAGATTCAGCCATTCCCACTTGCTTGCTGCGAGCTCGCGTCGTCAGGAAAGTGGGGTCGCATGTGTCGTAGGTGGCCCGGCAAGCGTGCAAATTAACTTGGGAGGTGTGAGCTGATCTTTGTCGGTGCTGAAGGAAGAATTGCGGCTCTTAATCCGAGCTCCGGAATGGTTTTAATTGAGGGAGTCGTGGGCGCGCGCTTACAGTGGGTAGGAATAACGCTTGCCGAATTGCTGAACTGTAGAAAAGGGCAATTATAAATAATAATTGAATGGCACTTTTTAACACTTTTTGAGTTGCCCATTGCAACGGTGTGATAAAAAACCCCAATCTAATTGGAAATTGGAAAGGGTACACGCACGGCACTTTTGTAAATCTACTGCTGGATGAGTGCCTCCTCGCGCCTTGTGGCTCGGTGGGGGTTATTTGACCATGCTTCTCCACACCGGTCAATTGCAAAGCACAGGTGTTGGAATGTATTCGTACAGTGCAATCATTAGTTTGCCCACTGTAAATTAATTTTCATAACACTTTTCTGCTGCCACTAGACCTTAACACAGAAAGCAGTGCACTAGTTAATTAATATATCAGTCGTAGTTAAGAGGTCAGATTTGCACGGTTTAGGTCCCTAAGTAAGGGAATGTTTAAGATGAATTTCAGTAACCTAGGACATTGACAACTGAAGCATTTGCTGCCGCTCAGACCGCCCCAATAATGCTGTCGGACAACAAAGAGAGAGAGAATTCACTGTAGCATTGATTTTCTTTCTTTGTTAATGTTCTGGAAATAAGGGCAGTAAATGTAATGTGTGACAATAGACTTGAGGGAAGGGGACACGCACCGCCGCTCCTGCTTTCAGGCTGCCGGGTGTTGCGGATTCTCCTGCGAGTAACCTCGCTCAACAGGACCACATGCTCGGCGTGAACGGATTGCGTGTGAGAGTGACACGTGGCTCTTCGCGGAAATTTGCAATCGAGTGCAACAGGAAGCAGCGAGCCTGGTTTGCGGAATCCTGTCGAGTGCCTCTTAAACTAAACAATTACATTTTCCCAGTTAAGGCCCCACTGAGCTAAAGAAAAGTACAGTAAAACCTTGGATTGCGAGTAACGTGGTCTGCTATTGCTTATCAAGACGAGCAAAATGTTAAAATAAATATTAATTTTATAAACGAGTGAGGTCTTACAATATGAGCAGTACGTACAGTATACGCTTTGTCTGCCGAGCGTCACGTGATCACAACTGAGCCAATGGTTCTTCTCTCTCTCTCGCTGCGGGATTGTGGGTAATCGTCTCCCATGCTCGGTCTCAGTCGGCGTGCCTCACTCGTATAGTCAACATCCGCGCGAACGTATACTGTTTACTATAGTGTTGTGACCACGTGTGTGTGCGTAAAGCATTTTTTTTATTTTGTGTCCAAGTTTAGTGACTGTTCTTTAGTAACTGTACTGCAACAATGGCCCCCTCCCCCCTCCTCTCTCTCGTCTCCCTTACACCAGCCACGATTAAATTTAATTAATGCATTTGATTACTTCATATTAAATTTAAATAATAAAAATCTAAAAAGGTATTTTGTATTGATCATTTTTATATTAATATTTTTGGGTTGTGGAACGAATCATCTGAGTTTCCATTATTTCTGTTGGGGATATTAGCTTTGATATAGGAGTGCTTTGGATTACAAGCATGTTTCCGGAACGAATTATGCTCGCAATCCAAGGTTTTACTGTAGCTATATTTCAGAAGCGACCTGGCCACAATTGATATCTCAACGAAGTGGCTTATTTAGATATTTAGAGCAGCCGAAAACTCTAAATGCTTGTTTTTAAATGTGGAGGGAAAAACCAGAGAACCCGGAGACAAATCCACGCGACTGCAAGGAGAACATGCAAACTCCAAATATACAACAGGCATCAGAGTCAGGATCGAACCTACAGCCTTCCATATACCAGGCGAGTTAGTTAACATCTCGCCACCGTGGGAACTGCATTACAGCTATTTTTATATTTGGCTTTCTGTTGGATCAGAAACACCAAAAATTGACAAATGCCCTCTTTGGCTCACCTTGCAACACAGCTTTGAATAGAGTATGGCTCATTCTAAGGAAACACATTGGCTGTATGCTAGGGATGCCCACTCAATATGCATGTGGGAAAGGGAAGTTTCAGTTTTCCCGGATCACATTTTCCTCTCAAATTGTTACTGTTCGGAGAATGCCTTTCTGCTTTGTTCATATCTACAGCTTCTCGTCCGCCTCGTCTTCTTTGCACGTCCATGACTGTCGTGTATTTTTCAACTGCGCGGAGCACCCAGTAAATATTGAGCGATTGTCTTTAAACCGTCAGTGGTTTCAGTTTTAACAGGTAAACAAATGAAAGCCTTAGGTATGACCTTGTAAAATAACGAACTTGAGTTTTGAGTGGCACCCCAGTGTACGTGCTTGGTGATGCCGCACCTCCGGTTAGCACGCTTGGCTACATACGGTGCGAAAGAAGTTCAACATACCTGCATACCACATCTCCGATTAGCACGGTGGGCTACGTACGGTGCGAAAGAAGTTCAACATCCATCCATACGTACGTGGTGTAATGCTGAGCACACTGGATTTGCAATCCAGAGGTGTCTGGTTCTATCTCCCGGCATGGCAGTTAAAACATTACCGCAAGTTTCACAATTGCCCCCCCCCCCCCGCCTCTGTCCAATTGGCAGTGTAATTGGGTTACAGCACAGTTTGTCGATCGGCATGTCACGCGTGGTGGGGTAAAGTGTGGGTACTCGCACCTCTATTAACACGTCTGGCCATTGTGGAAGAGTAGACCAAAATATTATCGATGGAAGCTTTATAGAGCTCCCTATGGTGGAGGCCCTTTTGCCACCAGTGGCATGAGCAAGAAATTGCTGGGCTGCACCTTCATATTATATTTTCCTTTCTTGGACAGAGACATATATGTGAGCCAGTTACTTTATTGAATCCGATTTATTTTTCTTGCGTAAGGTTTAGTGCCTGCTTACAGGAGTCTGGAATTTGTAGCACTTTTTCTGGGTAAACAACAGCGAACAGGAAATACCCCGATGCTTGATTTCAACAGTCCCAAGTTATAATTGTTCCCGAAAACCCAATTAATTATCTTGAAGCTCAAAGACATCGCACCATTTACGTGGCATTTAAAGTTTGCGCCGCTCCACCAGACTCGATTCTTAAATTATATAAACGAACTCATGTACTCACGTTGACGCACGCTGCAATAACTTTGCATTTAAAAGATGTAAAAAAAAGTTAAAAGTGGATAGACTGGAAAAAAAGATGTTAATAGCAATGTGGTAGTTTACCAACACTACTTTTTAAAGCGCATAATAAGCTAATATTTGGGCAATGGGCCTTATTAAAAATTGACGCGTTACTCTTGTCTGAAAGAGGGAGATTACCTAGTTAATTGACGATGGTGGTAAAATATTCGTCGGCCTGAGCTTTACCATTGCTGCTGTTGCGGCAAAATTTTACTTGAAGCGATACTATTAAAAAAATATATATATTTTACCACGTAAGGCCCCATTTACGTAGCTGTATCGCTCTTTTTCAGAAGCGGCCTGGCTATTACAAATGATAGCTCAACAAAGTGGCCTATCATAGCGAAATTTATAGCAGCAGCCAATTACTCTAAACTCACGTTTATAAATGCGGAGGGAAAAACTGGAGGACCCAGAGAAAAATCCACGTTAACACGGGGAGAACATGTAAACTTCAAATATACAGGTGTCAAGGTCGGGTTCTAACCCACAACCTCCTATATACCAGGCGAGGTAGTTAACATTTCCTAGCCACCGTAGCACCCCAAAAAAGTAAGAAGTGGCTGTTGATAGACGAGGTGAGTTGACGTCAGGCGACGATGGGACAAGGTGCTCGTCGTACACACTTGGACGGCCTCCTTATCCCCTTTTCCACTGGCACTTATGAGCCGCATTAGCGTGGGGCCTTGACGGGTACGGTTGGTGATCCAAAGCTGGACATTTGAATCTAACTTGTGACAAAGCAGGGCCCGGGGCGGGGCTAATAATGTGTTTATTGTGTGTGAGTGATGTCTTTTCTTGGATTTTCTGTTTGCACTTAGTCACATATTCACTTTCAGATGTTTATTGTTCGTGTTTTTGTGTTTTGTTTGTTGCGGTTGCACCCGATTCAAGAGCCGAATGGCTCACAGGGCTACACCTAATAAATGAACTTGAACTTGAGTACAGGGACTCTACTTACGAAGAAGTTAGGTTCCAGAGGTCTGTTCGTAAGTCGATGTGTTCATGAGTCCAACTTTACTCCCGTCAATTCCAAACATGTTGTACGGCGTCTACAATAAACATGGGAATGGTTTGAAAAGTTGTATAATCTCCTTTAGCTGTAGATGCCACTGGTTCTTCTTGTTCTGTTGATGTAAATACCACCACCATCTATTGCACGGCCGTTGAACCTACGACTCTTGGTCCGAACAGGCAACTGGACATATCGACAGGTTTGTTCGTATCTCTGAGTCGAATGTTCGTAGAGTCGTTGTACTCTGTAAGGACACGGTGTCGTTTTTTGACATCAGTCAGTATGCTGTGAGGAGGCAGCCTGACCGCGCCATCCACACCTGCGATTCGCACGGTCGACCGCGTGCAGTGTGAAGAAGTTCAACATACATATATACACTTGTCTCGACTCATTACGGCCTGTATTGTCGTTCAGTAATCTTTGAGGACGCAGTGTCACCGCGTCATCTACGTGCATCTCGACTCGTTGATTGCGCACGATGTCGGCGGCGCGGCTCTGCTACCGGAGTGGAAAAGAACAACCTGGCTCCTCCCCTGACGCACACACGGGGCTGACTCATCGCCTCCCTGGCGCAGCTCGGTTGTACGGTGGCAAAGAGGCGTTAGTTCTGCGCACGTCATTGTTTGCGTGTTTTTTCCATACGTGTGTTCTTCAGGACGGCACAGGTGGGGTGGGATCGGCTGACTTCTCCGCCATCAAGGAACTGGATGCCATCAGCGCAGAGATCACCGAGCTACAGCGGTAGTCCACGCGCGCCGCCACGTGACTCTCGCCACAACCATTGCACCGGCAGCAACATGAACAAACAACAACCCAAATTTCTATCACAGCACAGCGCTACGTACGCATCCTCTGAAATATTCGCCGCCCACGCGCCCGTTGTTGCAGTGTTTTGTGCAGCAGTGTAACTGTCATTCTCTGTGGATGTTCAGAAATCCAAAACTTTTCACACCCGGTAATGTTCTTTCGTCCTGCATGGCATTCGCTTACTCGTAAAGCATTTTCTCACGTCTGAAGCAATTTACGCTTTCTTTTTTGTCCATTAACCTCTTTGTGCGCGATTGTGCTAATGTCATTGCCGATAAATGTTCACACATCCGGCCTTTCCACATATCCCGCACGTGCCTCACTCTCCAGCGAGTCAGACATGCGACAACCCTACAGCGGTTTTTGTTGTTGTTGCCCGTGACCTGTCGCCACTTCACACCTTTCCGCGATTACTAGTCATGGGGTGTGTGTGGCGAGCAGATTCTTTAACGTGAAGCTTGAACTAGAAAATGTTGCTCGTCACAAAGAAGAGCACTGCGGTGGTGGGGGTCGCAAGGGCTGGAGTTGAGGAACACTGCTCTCCAAATACAATAACATCTAAGCCAGGGATTTTCAAACCCCAGAATCAATGTCCACCTTGCCTTGTTCACGCATCTGAGGTCTATCTCCCATTCATATGGAAACGGTCACAGTGCGCATACGCTTGCATTTGATGATGCGTTGAAATGAAAACCTTCATCGTGGGAAGGATGCGAGGAATTTCGATTTGTGTCGTTGCTTTTCAACGTCCTCCCTTTGAAGAAATCTACAAAAGCACGTCTTCATGAGTTGGTGCGGAATTCCACATAATTTTGTAATGGGCCACTGTGTGCCAATAATTGAAGACGTTGTTACGTCTGCCTTATCGTGTCGCTGTATAATCATCTCTGAATGTGATGGAATCTCATGTTTTGTTAAAGCAGGCCGGATGGTATATTGAAAATATATTTTTATGAAGGCAATTTTCCTTATCCGTTTGTCCATTTATACCGTGGCCATGTAATCATTCACATTTGGAAAAAATACCCAGCAGGAATTGTTTTTTTCCTTATGAAAAATAAACGGATGCACTAGACATATCTGATGCATTATATATGTGTCATTAGATTTCAGCCCAAAACAATCCTTATATGGTTAAAATGCATTTAAACAGATGGTGTAAATTATACTAATTAAAAAAATGTTATTTACAGAGGTGTTTCGCCAGATAATTAGTGGTGGGACTCATAGATTATTTTTTAAAAACAAGATTAATTATTTTTAAATGGTAATAGAGGGAACAAAGGCAGTTTGTTGGCAGCGACGTGTTCCGCCAGATGGGATCGAGTCCAGATCGCTTTCAAAAACAATAATAATAATACTGTAATGAAAATGAAATAATAATTGTAGTAGTAATAATCATATTTTGTACGCCTTTATGAATGCATTTCTGGATAAAGGTCTGCCCATCCTGGGTCAGTCATGCAGGTTGTATTTGACCATACTTCGCCACACTGGTTAGTGTGGGTTGGCAAAGGTGTTAGAATTTATTGTTTTGTTCACGCAAATTTGTACTGACTTAAACGATTCTCCCACAAACAAGTTGACTCCTTATATCACTGGCACTGGTTTGAATTGATGGATCCATGCTTAGTAAATCCACCAATGTGACCTCCAAACCATTGTATAACACGATCATGCTGCTGATGATGTGAACTTATTGCACTTGTGGATGGATTATGATGCACGCTATGTTTGTTTCTCTTTTACCTGTTGTGCAATCAGAGAAAAAGCTTCCTTGGAGCAGGACATCCGCGAGAAGGAAGAGGCGATCAGATACCAAACCAATGAGGTGCAGGTACTATGATTGCGCAGTGAGTGAGTGTTCACTTGCGTCTGTCGATGCCCATGGTAGCAAATTTGTTTAGTCTCCTCTGTTAGTGTATTCATTGGCAAGGAAGTGGATATATACTAATAAAGCTAATTTCTTTTTTTAACCTAGCATGTGGGAGGATGCCGGAGCACTCGGAGAAACCCCACACATCATGTGATGACACTACTCAAAACTCCGTGCGGATGGATTCAAACCACAGACAGATTCGGCTCATCGAGTGGACCAAATCTAACCACGGATTACACTCGCAGAAGCACTGCCATCTCCTGACGCATCTCAGCTGCCTCAGCCCCCTGAGTTACTTGACCATATTTTTTCTAAGCTGGTCAAGTGGGGGTAGGTAAAGTGGATTCCCAGTACCGGTTCAGATATCACTCAACGCTCATATTAGATGTGGCTGATATTTTAACTTGGGTCGATGGATTTGTAGGGAAGTGCGCTAAACGCTGCACCACCGCTGCCCCCCGCCATACATCAAAGGTTGATAAACACAATTGCAATTTATTGCGTAGCGCTGCAGACTTGATTAATGGGTGACCAGACAGCAACACTTGAGTGGTCTCCGTGAGTGGTGACGAAGACGAGATGGTTAGGAGACTCAGAGCAGAACTCGGAGGTCGCATGGCTTTGTGGGGGTCGCTAGCCCCCGAGATCCCTCCCTCGATAATGCTAACGGCCGGGCTAGCATCATCAATCGCCCCCCCGCTGCTAAGCGAACCGCTGCTAAGTTCCTCACCTATGGTGTGGGAGCCGTCGCCCGCGGATTCCCCTCCACCGCGGGTCCGCGTAATGGGCATGGTTAATTACCGATTAGTATTCTGCCCCTCTCTACTACGATACTTCCCTTTCCTAATCGCGCGCCTGCAACCCACGAGGAGCGAACGCACGCACGCCCACACACACGCCGCTCCGCGCACTCCAACTCAACTCACGTTATACTCGCGCACCTGTATCACACACGGAGTGAACACACGCGACACCCACTCTCGCACCGCTCTGCGCAGCGCTCCCCCGAGGCGAGCCGCAGCACTACAGAATCACTGCGTACCCACGCGCAACCCGCGCGCTCAGCTCCGCGCAGCGCTCACTCACGTGGCGAACCACTGTGCACACAGCGCACCCACACGCTCACACTGCACGACAAGATCACGCGAGACCACGCTTCGCTATTAATGATTTATTATATGCCACCTGCGAATTGATGTTGAATCAGTGAGTCGACGAGGCTGGCCTATTCCACTAAACCTGTACCTATTCCCTATTTATCGGCTTACGATACCCTACTTCACCTCCCCACTCACTGTTTGGTGCCCGCGGAGGTTCGCTGCTCTCTGCGCTAACAGCGTACCTCGATGCGTCGCACGGACGTCCGGGTCGCTGGCTGGAACTCCTGCTGGTCCGCTGGCCTGGAGAGAAGAGAGCGATTTCCCCTCTGCACTCCTCTATTTATCCTCCCTACCTCAAAGGGGATGCTGCGCTGAACAATGGGCTCGTGCACCCCAAGCCCGCGCACGGCGGTTCCCGGGCGCTGTTGATATGCTAATCAGTGCGCGACGTTGGCGGCGTACATCCTAATTACTCCCTTACCCTTCCTAACAATGGGGCCTGCGCGCTCAAGCGCAATTATCCCAACCCTCCATGACTATGCGCAACAGCCCCTGTGACCCCGCTATTCATGCTGTCCCGTGCCTCCCCTGCTTGCCCCGTCGACCCGTGGGAGTGTGTGTGGGGGGAAATGCGCCTCAACCGCGGTGGCCGAATGCCCCACGCCGCGACCACACCATATTAAGGCCGGCCGCAGCGCCGCGGTGCCACGTAGCACGGGGGAGGTCATCCAATTCCCTGATCGCCGGAAACCGTGAGAATTAATCCCGATAAGGGTCTCTCGGATAAAAACCGGTCGGCCAGGCGACCTCCCCTCGGAGCTCTATGGGGGGGGGGGGGAAATGAGTGCGGGTGTGTTCATGTGAGGTGAGGTGAGGGGGACGCGGGGTCGGCTCCGTTGCTTGGTGGTGGCGAGGTCGGGGATTTGGTGCCTGCCGAACGGCTTCGTGGCGGCGGCATCACATAGCCCCCCGAGGTGCCAGTCCCCGTCCCGGGTTGACTGGAGCACCTCGCTTGGGCCGCGCCCACGAGGAAACGTTGCGGGGTCCGGGGGATCCGTCCGGACCTGGTGGCTGGCCTCGGGGCGTGTGGTTCCGTCCTCTGTAGCTCCTGCGGCGGTCTCCTCCTCCACTCCAGCGGCTCTCCCCGTCCCCCGGCACCTGTGGGCTGGGGCACAAACTCAGCAGCGGAAGGGTTTAGTGGCCGTCGTCCACGCCGTCTCCGGACTGGATCGGGGCGTCTCGGGGGCCCGGCGGGGCCCATGTAGTGTGCGAGGCCCCCCAACACGAGGGGTGCGGGTACTCCGGGATTTCGGGGCTTTCGGGTGACGGAGTCCTCTCTCGCCGGGGCCGCTTTCCATGGTTTTAAGCGGCGGACATTGACCACCGTCTCTCGACCCCTCTCCCCGCCGTAGATTAGTACCGTCCAGGGGGATATCTGCCGCACCACGGTCCAGGGTCCCCGCCAGTAGGTCGTCAGTTTCCCCACCTGCCCGGCCCCGACGCGAGGGGTGTGTAGCCACACCTTAGCGCCTGTCAGGAATAAGGGGGGTTCCATGCGGGGTCGGGTGCCCTGTTCCTGCCGCCGATGCGCGGCTTCCCCTTGCGGGTATGCTCGGCCTCGGGCTTCTCGCAGGGTCTCCAACAGGTGTTCCACGGGGCGGCTTCCCTCCTCCGGCTGGGGGGAAGGGACGCCGAATAGCAGATCTGCGGGTAAACGAGACTCACGGCCGAACATCATTAAAAACGGGGTTTGTCCCGTCGACGTGTGTACGGTGGTGGCGTAGGCGAAAAGGGCGTAGGGGAGGTGTTCGTCCCAATCCCGTTGATTTGCGGCCGCCATACGTTTGAGTTTCCCCGCTAGGGTCTGATTCATGCGCTCTACCATACCGTTCGCTTGGGGGTGGTACGCTGTGGTTCGGTCCTTCTGGATTCCGAATTCTCGGCACAGTGCCTGGAACAGCTCGGCCTCGAACTCGCTACCCTGGTCGGTGAGGACTCGTTCCGGGATCCCGTGCTTGAGTACGTAATGTTCTACGAATGCCCGGGCCACCACCAAGGCCGTTTTATCAGGGATGGCCACTGCCACGGGGTAGCGGGTGAAATACTCTACTGCGACTAGAATATACCGGTTGCCTCGATGGGATCGTGGGAATGGCCCCTGTAGATCGATCCCGACCAGCTGATTCGTGCGGCTGACGCGGAACGGCCTTAGGGGTACCTGGTATCGTGCCGGTTTCGGCCCGCACTGCTGACAGGCGCGGCAGCCCTGTACCCAGGCCGCCACGTCTTGTGCCAATTTGGGCCAGAGATACTGGCGACGCAGGGTCTCTCGAGTGCGTCGTTCCCCATCGTGGCCCCCGAGTGGGTGGTCATGCACCAGCCGTAGCAGCTGGGGTCGCACCTGGGCAGGAACACAGATGCACCCCGGCTGGCCGGCCTCGGTTAACTCCCGTACCACTCCGTTCCGCACACACAACCGGGCATACAAACCGCTCCAGGGTCCTGGTAGGGCGCTCTTTTCCTCCCGCAGTGCCGCCTCCACTGCCGCCAGATCCGGATCTCGCTGCTGGGTCTGTCTCAGCTGCTCGTCGTTTAGGCCCGGGAAGGCGCAGCCGACGTCCTCCTGGATCCGTCCGATCGGGTCCCGAGCCGCGGGTCCCGCGCTTGCCGGGCGGTCGACGGGATCCTCAGTGCCACCTGTGAGGGTTTCTGTGGCGCACACTGCACTCTCTCTCGCTGGGGGGGGGTCAGTGGCCGCGGCCTCTCGGGGGTCCGTTGCCTGCCGGCAGCGTCCCCCCGTGAAACACGGGCAGGCCTCCTCCGCCCTCGTCTCGGCGTACACCGTGGGTCGCCTCGACAAGGCGTCCGCGTTTGCATGCGTCCGGCCAGCCCGATACTCGATTTGCAGGTTGTACTCCTGCAACTGCGCCAACCACCGGGCCATCTGCCCCCGCGGCTCCTTGAATGTAAGAAGAAACTGCAGAGCATAATGGTCAGTGCGTACGCGACATCTCCTGCCGTACAAATACGGCCGGAACTGTTTGCATGCGAAAATCACGGCGTACAACTCTTGGCGGGTCACGCAATAGTTCAGCTCGGCCCCACTCAAGGTCCGGCTGGCGTACGCGATGACTCGTTCCGTCCCATCCTGTACCTGTGACAACACCGCGCCCAGCCCGCTGCTGCAGGCGTCGGTGTCCAAAATAAAATCGGTGGTAAAATCGGGGAAAGCAAGGGTGGGGGCGTGGGTGAGGTGGTCTTTGAGAGTGGTGAAGGCCGTCTGGCAGGCCCCCGTCCACTGATAGGGGTGCTTAGGGGAGGTGAGTTGGGTGAGGGGGCGTGCAATCTCGCTGAATCCCTTTACAAATCGACGATAATAGGTGGCGAGCCCCAAAAATGATCTGATCTCCGTCAGATTCCTTGGCCGTGGCCACTCCACTACGGCGCGTACCTTCTCCGGATCGGTGCGCACGCCTGCCTCGCTGACGCGATGCCCGAGGTACCCCACCTCGCGTTGTGCGATGTAACACTTACGTGGCTTGAGCTTGAGATGAGCCGCTCGCAGTCGCTGGAACACCTCTCGAAGCCTGGACCAATGCTCAGACAAAGATCTACTGAACACTATCACATCGTCCAAGTAAATCAGGCACTGTTCCCATTGCAAACCCCGCATCACCAACTCCATCAACCGCTGGAACGTCGCGGGCGCGTTAGTGAGTCCGAACGGCAACACTCGAAACTCAAACAGGCCCATCGGGGTGGTGAATGCTGTTTTTGGCCGATCCTCCTCCGTCATCTCCACCTGCCAGTAACCGGACGCCAGATCGAGGGTGGAAAAATACCGCGCTCCTGCGAGAC